GCGACATACCTTATCCCATATTAATTGAAATTTTTATAATTGGCGCGTGGCTGTCAACTATTCACTACAACGTCTCATTGGTGTTAAAAAATTGCACTTTATTACTTTAAAGTCCATTCGGTAGAGATTAAAATTGAAAAAATAATCGTTATTGTTGACTTTTATTAGACGAGTGAGATTAATAACGGCTATAGTTTCAATTTTAATTGGATTTTAATCTAAAGACATTATAGTTATTTTCATTTTTCTCTTTTCGTTTGGTATGACTATCTGCCAAGCAATTTCCGTCAATCTTGAGGACGATAAGTGATGGAATGTATAGTTGTGAAATTTGAAACTTTAATTAAAGTTCATCGATTCATTTAAAACAAATTAAAGTTTAAAACTTGGTATTCACACTAAGTCTTCGTATGACTCAATTTTTCTCCAAACTCATTTTCAATCATACATTTTTATTAGGTTCACATTATTTAATCAACTTTTCAATTATTAGGTTGTGTTCAAGCCATATTATTTTGGAAGAATGTATTATGAAATAGTGAATTGATGGAGAATGTGTGGTTGAAAAAGAAGAAAAAGTTATTGATGTGATGAAAAATATTATTTATTGAAAAATATGTGGTTGAAAATAAGTAAAAAAATGAGAATGAAAATTTTAATATGTATCAAACCTTAAAAGGATTGAATCGAAGTCAAGTTGATAACAAAACACATTAAAATAAATAAATAACAACTTTGGGGTGAAGAGTTGGATTTGAGCAAATCGAGCGATTTTAATTCTTAAGTTATTTTAGTGGGTTGATTCAATTCAATTCAATTCAATTCAGTTTTAACAATACCGACTTTGAAAGGGGTATAATAGAATGCGAGGATGGAGAATAATAGACTATTACCCTTCAAGACTCACTATTGCCACTCTTTTAACATAATCTTGACCGGTTAGACTTGTTCCAATATGCCTTAAATATTTATATTTACATGGCAAACAACTTATGTATGAAAGATTTAGTTCTCATCCCTTTAGATACTTACATTTTTAGAATATTTTTATTATTTGAATCATTTTATCTACATCATGGCATTTTTTTTTTCAATACATTGACATGATTCATATACTAAGCCCTTGTTTGGTCGTCATTAAAAAGAGTGTTTTTTTTTTTTTAAATGAGTTTTGAAATGGTGATTTTTTTGGAAAATGTATAGTCGAAAAATAGAAAAAAAAATTTCGATTTACGTGCAAAATGTTTTATTTGTAAATGTGGGGTTGAAATTGATTTGAGAAAAAAAAAATTTGGAAAAATGGATAACAAATAGGTGCATATATACTTCCTTTACAACAATTTCAGCTTTTAGAAGCAAAAACTCAGGTTCTCGTTGCCACCCTTTTCTAAAATTTATGTATGTATCGGACTTCTAATGAATTTGATCTGTATGTTAAAGTGGAGATTTTATAAAATAGAAAGGCTTGACAATTGGCAAAGTTTATTATTTCCCTTTAATCGTAATTCAGTATAATATAATAATCGTAATTCAAACACGGTATCAATAATGCTACAATGCCATAATTTTTGAAATAATGTCACATGACATTTCATCATTGGTTTGTTTTACATATCGTTAGCTTTTCTATCAGATCATCTACTATCATCTCGAATTATATCTGTTACATTTATTCTGACAAAGTGATAAAATCCTTTCGATATTATCTTGTTCGCACATGAAATTTGTCACGCTTATCTCTCCCAAAAATTTGTCCAAAATTGACATAAAAAAGGTACGATTATGGAGTTGGATTGGCATTCTTGCATCCTTCAACCATAAAGCAATGTGATTTCTCAAGTTTTTCAAATTCAATAATGTATAAACTGAAATTTAATACCATCTTACCCGAGGATCATCCCCAACTTGTACCAGCAACATTACTCTCTAAAATTAGATTTTGCCCTTTTTTATATTTCATGTACATAGTAGAAAATGATCTTTTTCACGACACACGGTCGTCCTTAATATTTATAAACATTAATGGCCAGCAAAATTGCTCCGTTGAGCCCCATTTTGATAAGAAAATATATTTTGAAAGAGTAGTGTTCATACATCATCATTAGTGCTAAGCATCAGTATAGATAGCGACACACATTATGTCCAATTAAATGAATCATATAACAACACATTTAATTGGACTTGTCATTTAATATCATATACGTTATATAGACTGATGCTAAATGGTATTATTCATTATCGAATAAGATTTTTTGGAGAGTGTACGATTAAAAAGAAGGAAATTTTTTTTATTTACGCGTGAAATTAATTTATGAAAAATGTGGGGGTGAAAGTGACTTTTCCCTATTGAAGTAAACCAGTAAAAGTGATCCGGGGTGGGGTATATTTATATGTAGAGAGAGATTTCCACTCGAGAGAGATGGGTAAAAAAGGCAAAACGGAACTCACAATACAGCGTGATGATGGTTGAAGGAGGTTTTTGCATGAAAATACAAGTGTCCTAAATACTGTGAGTGTACGCTCTTTGGTTGCATCATCACCACAAATTGGAATAATATTATTGGCAACAAAAATATTCTTGATGAAGAAATTAATATGCCGAATTTTCGTTTTTTCATCTTGTTTTCAAATCAACTAGTGTAATGTGTTGTTTTCTTATGCACCTATTTGGGTGCCTACTTTTTCTCAATTGGGATTTTGACAATCACTATCTTCATAGTCTATTAATATGTTGACTTTTCTTATATTGAAGTTTAATTTATGTTAATTTCACGTCAAATTAGACGGAAGAAGAACATGTAAGTATGAAATTTAAGGGGGTTTTTTTTTTTTTTTGTGAATTTCAAATTTTCGCCATTAAAATTTTCCTTCTCTCTATTATATACTATACACAATGATTGTTGCCTTTTAAATTTAATTTTATGGGTGAATTTTATTTCTTTACAACTTGTGATGGAACAAGGAAAATACTCTATAAAATAGGGAAACTTTCCTTTTTCCATTCCAAATAAGAATCCCACTTTTCCTTTCTTAGTAAAATCGTCTCTTTCATAACAAGTCAGGTCCATATTATAAATAGCCACTTATATTGAAGTTTAATTTATGTTAATTTCGAGTCAAATTAGACACAAGAATAACATGTAAGTATGAAATTTAAGGTTCTTTTTTTCTTTTTTTGGTGAATTTCAAATTTTCGACATTAAAATTTTCCTTCTCTCTATTGTATACTATACACCATGATGGTTGACTTTTAAATTTAATTTTATAGGTGAATTTAGAATTGATTAACCATAACAGAAAAGGGAAATCTTCTATGACATCCGAAAACTAGATTAAATGTGGTCGTTAAATATATCGAAATAACTCCAAAATTTGATGTTTTTGATCTTGTACGAAATGAGTATCAGTAGAAGTAAAGAGAATCTAAAATTACCACATGATGCATGGGTACATCCAGTGACTTCAGCTTTCTCATGTTTGAATCTATTATATTCATTGGATCTTTAATGTTTTATACACTTTGCTTTTTCCTCTTAATTATTTGTAATCTCCAAAACTTTGTCGTAGCTCCTCTTATTCAGAGCTACTCCTAACATCTCCATACTGGACGGCCAACCATAAATGAATAGAAAGATAGAACTCCCAAACTAAGAAAAAAAAAAGTAATGTTGCAGCAATAAGCTTCAGACCTTAGGCGGGAAGTCGAAGGACTTTCCACTGCAACATAAACCTCTCCTGCAGCAATGCCACAGCCATTTGAAGTCCATCGAAGTTGTAGGGGAAGAGCATAAGCTGGCCGTGTGCTATACTTGAACTTTCTCATTTTGAATTCAAGGGGGGATTGATCACTGATAATATCTTCTTCCCAGCATAAATGAAGACGAAAAGCAAAGACTCACTTTTCGAGTGAATTACTATATTAAATAAACATGAGTAAATACGACTTTCTTCTAATGCAATGTGCATAAGGCATTGTGAGATTTAAATTAATCGTGAGGCTTTTTCTGAGTAGTATAGCCGAAAGTGTGATTTTGAGGAGGTTTACATCTGATCTATGCCATTGATTAATTGGAAAACTTGAGAAGTGAAATTCAACCTATTAAAATGCATGGCAAGAAATAGAACCTAAATGGAAGGCTTCTGAATTGGGATTGAAGGATCCCTGGACCTTTTTGCAGTGGTGTTTGTCCAATTGACACATTTTCCAGATCTTGAACCCTCCCCTGCCCCTGAAATTTCTTTTCCACATGGACCATGCTACGTGTACATAATGGTGTGCACACGGCCTTACATCCCCCTCACATGAAGGGAAGCCCACGCACAATAAAATATTTGTGGGCCCCCCTCCATATGAGGGGGTGTAACGCCGTGTGTACACCTTGTGGTGTACACATAGCATTATTCTTTCCACATACAGGAAATTTCAATTATCATCAATTACAAAAGAAAAAAAACTTATAAATGCTGAAACGATAATAAGTAAACCAAATAACACGAATACAACATATAATTCTTTACTCCATTAAAAAAATGTTGCCGTTAGCCTTGAAAACCAAACAACGCAAAAGACAAATTTAGACACTTCAATCAATTCGAAACGAAAACAGAGGGCTGACATTCTTTTAATACAGTGCTAATAATAATCTATAATAAATCCAAGCAAAAACAAAATCATTTTTATCTTATATATTTTAAAAGTGTACATTAAATTTGAAAATAACATTAACCAAGTTTACAAACACTTATTTTTAACACTAATCAAGTAAACGGTGGATTGTATTTTAAAAGTATACAATACATTTAAAAATAATCAGTTTTGATATGTGTTTATCTTAGATTATTGTGAGCACTCAAAAAAAAAATGTCTGTTCTGCGTAGACACGATCCGTCGATGAGCGGACACTGATGTCCGCTCATACAAGATAGAAATGATTTTGTTTTGTTATGGGTTTATCGTATGTTAGCACTGCATTAAAAAAATTTGGTCCACGCTGCGCGGACATGGTACCTGAGCAGTTCGATTCATTTTTTTACAGTGCAAATAATAATCTACGATAAATTCATAGCAAAATCAAATCATTTTTATCTTGTATATGCAAACTCAAGTGTCTAATCATGTTCGCGCAACGCAGACCATTTTTTTATACAGTGCTAACAAAAATCTACGATATACCCATAGCAAAATAAAATCATTTCTAGTATATTTTAAAAATGTACAATACATTTAAAAATAACATTAACCAAATTTACACACTTTTATTTTTAACACTAACGGTGGATTGCTTCTAAAAAAAAATTCACAGATGAGTAAACGGTGGATTGCTCAAGAAGCATGGAAAGATTCAAAGTTTCCAATGTTGGTAAGATGGAAAAGCATGGATACAAGCTGGATTGGATGGTCCAATTGGCAGCTTGCTTGACACCCGAATTCTTGGGCCGCCTGATCTGATCGTTGGGCTGTGATAATTCCATGGTCAAATATGACCTTTGGTTGGGCGATTGTTCATTTAGTTCGACAGTTTTAGTCTCTGATATTTCTCTCTCTAAGTTGTCTTCGTCATCTTCTTCTTTGATTTTTGAGATTTGTTCGATTCAATTGGTGTCTCTATTGGTATTTTGTCTATATTTAAATTTATTTTTCTTCATGAGTTGAATGTTGTGACCATTAACAAGACATCAATGGAGTTATTATTGAAGTCATGGACATAGTCATTTAGGAATTCTCTTTCCTTCCTTGATACTTACTTAGTCATCTGTCTACGATGTCAATGGTGGAATTTGAGAGTTTGAACTCTGACAAATTTCATAATGGTGACATGGTTAAGATGAACAAATTTGTAAATATAATTAGTGTAAGTGTCAAATATTCAAATATTTTGATTTTCAATGTGTTTTACCCTATTTTACAAGTTGGATATACTTTTCATAAGACGATAGCAACATGCTCATTTACCAAGTTGAACAATTATGAGTTGTGTCGAGATGCGAAGAGTTTCCTTAACCTAAAACGTCTCATTGCATCTCTATAACCTATGTCCATCTTTACATGGCTTTGAAGTTTCAAGAACGATAATATTTTGACTCGCTTTGATATTACACGAGTTTAGAACCAATCCTCAATTTAAATTATTGTTACGAGATAAGGCTCTTCAATATTTATTGGATTTTAAACAACATGAAGTTTTTATCATATTAGCTATTGTTTCGAAGTAAAAGAAAGAAAAGTAATAATCATTATCTGATATACAATTCTAATCGTTCGTTCCTATTATTTGATACTCGAACCTATATATATATATAGAGGAAAATGCTATGTGTACACCCCTCTCACAAGGAGGGGGTCCCACAAATAATTTATTGTGTGTGGGCTTCCTTCCATGTGAGAGGGATGTAAGACTTTGTGTATAATATTATGTACACGTAACATTTCCCACACACACACACACACACACACATATATATATACACACACACACACATACAGAAATGATCTAATGAGCACCGATACTCATCTTATTCTAAGCACCGATGAGTTGGCACATTAATTCATTGGTGGATAAAGATTTTGTGAGTTCCAATCCACCAATGAATTAATGTGCCAACTCATTGGTGTTTAGGATAAGATGAGCACCGGTGCTCATTAGATCATTTCTGTATATATGAGTAAATTGGCTCAGCCAAGTAGGAGAGATCTAAGCCTCTCGAAAGCTTAGAATCTATCTTTCATATTAAGGCCCCGTTCGGGAGGGATTAAAATCCAATTAAAATTGAAAATATGGCCGTTATTGGGTCCCACTCATCTAATAAAAGTCAACAATATCGACTATTTTTTCAATTTTAATCTAATTTTAATCCCTACCGAACGGGCCAATAGACACACACTTCTCAATTAAAAATTACTTTAAAAAAAAAAAAGTAAGCACGAGGAGCATTTTCAAACCATCAAACCATCTTACTTTTCTTAAGACGACAATAAGTTCGAGCCGCGAGTATTTTGGCCAGGGCTCTTACGGTAGAAATTTGTGTCCAGATTTTAACACACGTATTATCCCCAATAAACCAATTCAAACTTCAACCCTAAGTGATTCCAAAACCAGAAAATCAAAGCGCTGAATTTCTTATTGGAAAACAACCCAAATTCTCGATCTATCAATACACATCTCAAGAAATCAAGAGGCCAAAATTTTTTTACACGGATATATATAAAAATTCGAGTGCATATTTTATTGTTTATGATTTAACATGTACAGTAATTTCAAGGAGCAAGCGATCGAGTATGTGCGGCAGGCAGTGGCAGAGGACAACGCGGGGAACTACGCCAAGGCCTTCCCTCTGTATATGAATGCTTTGGAATATTTTAGGACCCATTTGAAGTATGAAAAGAACCCAAAAATAAAGGAGGCGATTACTCAAAAGTTTACGGAGTACTTGCGCCGGGCGGAGGAGATCCGGGCCGTGTTGGATGAGGGCGGCTCGGGGCCAGCGTCTAATGGGGATGCGGCAGTGGCTACTCGGCCCAAGACCAAGCCGAAGGATGGGAATGATGGGGACGATGCGGATAAGGAGAAGCTGAGGTCTGGGTTGAATTCGGCTATCATCAGGGAGAAGCCTAATATCAAGTGGAATGATGTAGCGGGATTGGAAAGCGCTAAGCAGGCGCTCCAGGAGGCCGTGATCTTGCCTGTCAAGTTCCCTCAGTTTTTTACTGGTAATTCACTTTTTTTGGTTTTGGTCAACGGTTTTTCAATGGTTATTTGCGTGTATGTGGTTATGTATTTGCAATTGAAGAATTTAATTATTTTGTTGTTTATTCAATTAAAGGCTTGATTACGTGGTTGAGATTGGTGGTAACTGGTAAGTAATGAGGAGCTCCACTTAAATTAGTTGAACAAATAGGCAAAATGATGGGAGGAGGAGGAATAGTGATTAGATTAGTTGTAATTGTCATATATCAAATTAATGAAATTAAGAGCTAGAGTTCATTGAATTTTATTTTATTTGATGATATCCGGTGTTAGCAATTGGAATGCAGCTACATCTATTGTTTAGATTGCAAAATGGATGTTAAATCTTTTAGTCATTACTTCTTTTGCCTCCCATGGAAACATCACAAATTTACTTGTGAAGAAGTGAAATAAAGTAAACCTTTCAGTATGATTATTAGGACACTGGACATATGCTTAAATGCAACAATGAATTTTACAAATTTGTTTTCTAGATAGTATGGCTAGATTGTTGTGTTTGAGCATGGTTGGACTAGGTGCTGTTTGATTTGGTTTGGACTTTATTGTCATAAATATTTCACACTGTGAATCACTATCATATACTTGGCCAATTTTTCCCAATCAATTACTTAATACTTCTTAGATGTTTTGTTCTCTTCTCATTTCTATTGCCACACTATCCACATCAGACTGCACTAGTAAATTTGTGATTAGTTTAGTTGCAAGCATGATTTTTGTCTTTGCAGTTGAGATCTATTGAGCTGTGATGAGGTGGATGGATATGAGAGGCATCAAAACTCATATCTTTTAGATAATACTAGATGATTTATAGCTTTAAGACTAAGGGCAGAGGCGGCTTCCTTTATATATTTCTTCTGACTATGGCATTGGTTATCATCTCAATATTCGCTTGAGGGATGCACACAGCCGGATTGCTATACTACCTTGGACATTAAGTCTGTTCCAGAGTTCCATGGGTAAGATTCTATTTGGGGGAAAAACTACATATATGAGAGCAGTTAGGCAGCACGAGTTCTTTCTGTAGATGATTTTTAGCACTTCAGGCAGGAGAAGTTCGCTTCTTTTTTGCACAGCGTCTCTTATAACCCAAATTGGTAGATGCATACTTATATGTATAAGTTATTACGGTGGCGGTTCAATAAGATTCTATATCTTTCCTTTTCCTGCTGGTCCATACCGTTCCACAAGCATTACTAGAAATGCCATATCAAGTTCTATAATGCTTTGTGGCTTGCTAGTTCTCTCTGGACAAGAAATTACGGGTTCCCCATATTTTGATGATTAAAATTGAAGAATGACTAAATTAGTTCGAGCCTGGAGCTGAGGCGGATTTCTCAGTATGAAGAGATTTGGTTTGCTTGTGGTTGCATATTCAGTATAGTTCTTTGATAGAATTTGTAATAATACCAAGAGATTATGGCCTCCAATTAACTGGAATTGGCTCTGGAAAAAGAGAATTCAACACACACAGGACAAGTAATAAGAATTGCACTTCAATTGATTGAATGAAATTAAAGATAACAAGCAGGTTTCGAGAGCTGCTCCTCTCCTCACGACTCAGACTGTTTTGCTACCAGCTGAATGCCTTCTAGATGCTCCTACTCTCTATTTATTTTCTCCTAACAAACAAGACGTCAATTTACTAACAAACCCCTTTCTTCCCTTCTAATTCCCATTATACCCCTTCTTGTGGCGCCTTTGATATGTGAACCGTATGGGAGGCTTATCAATACTCCCCGCCAACGCGAGCACCTTGTCCTCAAGGTGGAATTCGGGAAACTGAGAGTTGATCAGCTCAAATGGTTCCCAAGATGCTTCAAAGGGTGGAAGGTCCTGCCATTGAATAAGCACTTCCTGCCCAGTACCCTCAGAATCACTGGCTGGTCTAATTCCCAACACCCCGGCAGGCTGCACTTTCCACTCTAATTCGGAACTGAGAAGAGCTGGGAGGGGTTGAGTGGATGTAGTAGAGCCCACTGCCTTCCTTAATTGTGAGACATGGAACACTGGATGTATGTTAGCCTGCTGGAAGTTGGAGTTTATAAGCCACTGTCCCTAGTTTCTGGAGGATAGGATATGGACCAAAGAACCTAGGTGATAACTTCTCATTTGTACGCTTAGCTAAGGACTTCTATCGGTATGGCTGAAGTTTAAGGTAAACTAGATCGCCTTCTTGAAACTGAACAGATCTCCTTCCTGTGTCTGCCACCTTTTTCATCCTCGATTGTGCCTTCTCGAGCTGTAACTTCAATACCTCAATCATTTCATCCCGCCTTTGTAATTGCAGATCAAGTTCAGCTATCGGGGTGTGTTGAGTACCATAGCGTATGACTGGGGGAGGGTCCCTCCCATACACGATTTTAAAAGGAGTAGCCTTAGTAGAAGTGTGAAAGGATGTCTTATACCAAAACTCCGCCCACGGAATCCAATCTGACCAAGAGCGTGGGTGTTCGTTCGCAAAACAACGTAAGTAAGTCTCCAAACAACGATTCACCACCTCCGTTTGTCCATCAGTTTGTGGGTGATAAGCGGTACTACGGCGAAGATGAGTTCCCTGGAGCCGAAAGAGTTCAGTCCAAAACAAGCTGAGGAAAACCTTATCCCTGTCCGACACTATGGAGCGAGGAAAGCCATGAAGTCTGACGACCCCGTGAATAAAAATTTCAGCCACAGTCTTAGCGGTAAAAGGGTGCTTCAAGGTCATAAAATGAGCATATTTGCTCAGTCGGTCTACCACCACCAATATCGTATCCCAACCGCGAGACTTTGGCAACCCCTCAATAAAATCCATCGTTATATCCTCCCAAATAGCTTCTGGTATGGGTAATGGCTGTAGCAATCCGGCAGGTGATAACGCCATATACTTGTTTCGCTGGCAAACTGAACAAGCACTCACAAAATTCTGAATGTCTTTCTTCATCCCTGTCCAAAACAATTCTCTGGCTATTCGCTTGTAAGTTTTCAATACTCCCGAATGGCCCCCCAACGCACTACTGTGGAACTCCTGGAGAATTCTGGAAATGAAATCTGACCCCTTAGGTAATACTAGCCTCTGTTTGTACAACAGGCAACCATCAGTTACTGACCACCCTTCAATGGACAATGGGTCCTTGAGTAGCGCTTCTCTAATGCCTGCTAATCTCTCATCCGCACCAATTTGAACCTGTAATTCCCCCAAATCCATCACCTTAGATACGGTCATGACAGCCAACCCAACTGCCCCAGGAAGTCTGGACAGTGCGTCCGCAGCTTTGTTCTCTAGGCCCGGCCGATATTGAATCTCAAAATCATAACCAAGTAGCTTAGTGACCCATTTCTGGTGTTCTACACAAACCAACCTTTGCTCTAATAGAAATTTTAGACTCTTTTGGTCAGTACGCACTATAAAGTGCCAGCCTAGAAGGTAATGCCTCCATTTTTGGATGGCTAACACAATTGCCATGAGTTCCCTCTCATAGATGGACTTCTGTTGAGCTCTGGTCGACAATGCTTGACTGAAGTAGGCAACAGGTTTCTGTTGCTGAGATAACACCGCTCCCAAACCCACTCCCGAAGCATCAGTCTCCACTACAAAAGGCAGAGAAAAATTTGGCAAGGCCAAAACCGGAACCTTCGTCATCGTATCCTTCAAATTCTGGAAGGCCAGCTCTGCCTCCCGAGTCCAGCAAAAACTATCCTTCTTCAACTGTCTAGTGAGGGGTTCTGCCAACTTCCCATAACCCTCCACAAATCGCCGGTAATATCCCGTCAATCCTAAGAACCCTCTCAGTTCCTTAAGATTCTTAGGTGCTGGCCACATTTGCATCGCCTGAATTTTCTTCGGATCAGCTTGTACGCCTTGAGAACTGATCATATGTCCCAAGTACTCCAATGTAGTGCAAGCAAACTCACATTTCTTCCGATTTGCATAAAGTTCATGCTCTTGTAGAATACCTAGCACCATCCTCAAATGCTCACAGTGTGCCTCTAGAGAGCGGCTGTAAACCAAAATATCATCGAAAAATACCAGTACGCATTTTCGTAACCAACTCTTGAACACCTTATTCATTAGTGACTGGAATGTTGCGGGTGCGTTAGTCAACCCAAAGGGCATTACTAAAAACTCATAATGTCCCTCATGCGTTCTGAACGCTGATTTATACTCATCGCCGGCCTTCAAACGTATCTGATGATAACCTGATTTCAAGTCTAGTTTGGAAAAAATCGTGGCTCCATGTAATTCATCAAGCAACTCATCAATAACCGGAATTGGGAAACGATCCGGTATCGTGGCACGATTGAGAGCTCTATAATCCACGCAAAACCTCCACCCGCCATCTTTTTTCTTCACTAACAGTACGGGGCTAGAGAAAGGGCTAATACTTGATTGAATGATACCAGCCTCCAACATTTCAGTCACCAGTTTATCAATTTCCTCCTTCTGGGCATGGGGGTATCTGTAGGGTCTGACGCTAACAGGTTCACTTCCTTCCTTCAAGGTAATAGCGTGCTCATGGCCTCTCACCGGGGGCAGCCCCACTGGTGACTCAAAAACAGCCTTATATTCTGCAATTAGCTCCTGTATAGGCTGGGGAATATTTGGTTCAACTACCCGCTCTTCCACTTGCACCGAACATAACTCCACCACCATTCCTTCCCCTTCCCTTTGTAAGGTTTTAATCATTGATTTTAATGAAATCAAGGATTTACTGAGCCCTTCATCCCCTTTCAAGGTAACCGTGCTTTCTCCCAGGGGTATCTTCATTACCAGCTTCTTCCAATTTACTTGAACTGTACCCAGCGTGCTGAGCCACTGCATTCCCAAAATTATGTCTGAGCTTCCTAAATCTATGGGCAAGTAATCCTCTACCACCAGCAAGGACTGGAGATGTAATACCACCCCTCTGCACTTCCCTGTACACCTTACTGATAAGCCAGTGCCTACTTGCACATTATATCCATGTGTTTCCGTGATTGGCAGTTCAAGCTTATTAATCAACTCCCACGACATAAAATTGTGGGTAGCACCAGAGTCAATCAGTACCACCACCTCTTGTCCGTTCACTGTTCCCCTTACTTTCATAGTTTTCGGTGATGTCAACCCTACTACCGAATTCATGGAGAGCTCTACCCCCTCCAATTCATTACTATCCGTTGTCTCATCTCCCCATTTCCCCTCTATTTCCTTCTCTTCCTCATCTTCATCCACTAACAAAACATGTAACTCCTTGTTTCGGCACTGATGTCCAATGGTATATTTTCCGTCGCATCGGAAGCATAAACCCTTCTCATTCTTAGATTGAATTTCAGCCTGGGTCAGTTTCTTAAATCCAACAGTGGTGTTCGGCACTTGGTTCCCCACCTTCTCTGTAGAAGTAGCTCCCCTAGGAAAACTCCATGGAAGTGTTCGTTGTTCAAAACGCGCTTGGTTAGGAGGAATTGCGGTCCTAATTCGCGGTCTCTCCTTCTCCTTTACTCTATTGATTCTGTTGTTCCTATCCTCTACTCGTTGCGCCATATCCATAATTTGAGATAAGCCAACCGGGTTTGCCATCAGTACCTCAGCCTGCACTTCTTCCTCTAAGCCATTAATGAAGACCCCTTCTAAAGTCTCCTCGCTCACATTCATCAAGGGTGCTGACATAATCTCAAATTTTTCCCTAAATTCTGCCACAGTTCCGGTCTGCTTGATGGCTAAGAATCGCTGATGCACGGTTCCATATTGTGTATCTCTAAACCTTTCGCGCAAGCGCTGTTTGAGAACTGTCCAGCTGCGTATGGGTCGTCGACCATCCTCCCACTGAAACCAGGAAAGGGCATTTCCCTCCATACACACACCCGCAGCCACTGCCCGTTCCTCATCAGAGAGTCTGCTCATACTAAAGTACCTTTCCGCCCTGAATATCCACGCATCTGGGTCAATTCCGCTGAACAGGGGTAATTCCAGCTTGCGATAACTTCCTTCAGCAGAAACGGCAGTGATTTTCTCCGGTGTAATGGGCTCCGATTCAAACTGCTTCTCGACTGAGGTTGTTGATTTCATTCCACTCCCTCCTCCCATCACCATTGATGGATCGAGTGACATCTCCTTAAACATCTTAACAATATTTTGAATTCCATCGTTCAGCTCACGCCTCCCCATCGCGAGACTCACTTCCAGCTTCTCTTGCATTTTTTCCATCTTCGCGCTTAAATGCTCAACGTCCCCTTTCAATTCGACCACCGTCGCACTCAGTGAAGGGATTCGCTCCACCGAACTCTCCAATGCTTCGATTCGACTATCCATTCTGGTGATTGGCATCCACTCCCAGAAATTTTAGTGCTCTGATACCAAATGATAGAATCTGTAATAATACCAAGAGATTATGGCCTCCAATTAACTGGAATTGGCTCTGGAAAAAGAGAATTCAACACACACAGGACAAGTAATAAGAATTGCACTTCAATTGATTGAATGAAATTAAAGATAACAAGCAGGTTTCGAGAGCTGCTCCTCTCCTCACGACTCAGACTGTTTTGCTACCAGCTGAATGCCTTCTAGATGCTCCTACTCTCTATTTATTTTCTCCTAACAAACAAGACGTCAATTTACTAACAAACCCCTTTCTTCCCTTCTAATTCCCATTATACCCCTTCTTGTGGCGCCTTTGATATGTGAACCGTATGGGAGGCTTATCATTCTTCTAGTGCTTATAGGATTTCTGCCTTTGTCTGAGTGAGAAGAGTTACTGAAAAAAAATTTAATTAGTGTATACATAAAATAGAAAATACTCGGAGAAAGAAAAACCCTGCTGAGAGGTGAGGAGAAATCTTGGGAGAAACTGGGTTCAGGAGTAGCTTCTATATGATGTTCAAAACACATTTTCACAACGAGAAACTTGAAATATCCAATTATATCACTCGACCATTTTTAAAGAATTTGAGCAAACTTGCCCTTTACCTACCCTACAATGAATTGCTCCTCGTGTAGATAGTTCAGTGCTGACAACCCAATCCCTCCCTCCTAGCCTGAAAATAGAAGATAAAAGAAAATGAAAGATGAAGAAGCATAAAATGTCAATCTTATTCGTGCCAATTTATCAGCTAATCACTTATTGATCATGGTTTTGGAGGAAAAAAATATAGGACAGATACATTTACATATTCCAAGTTAATTTATGATTTCTCGTCCTTGTAGGCAAGAGGCGCCCATGGAGGGCTTTCCTTTTGTATGGTCCACCTGGAACAGGAAAGTCATATTTAGCTAAGGCTGTTGCTACTGAAGCTGACTCAACCTTTTTCAGGTTACTTGTCTAGCCTCAAATAATCTTATTTCATCTATAGAAATACTTAATATGTGATGCTGCCCTTGCATATTGTATTTATTACTACTAAGCTTTAATTTATCATGCATGTTCATGTCTTCGTGTAGACTTAAGAGTTCCAAAAATATTTTACTTTCCATCTGGTGAAATATTTTTTCACAACCAAGGGAGCATTATTCTCCATCTGCTACTTCATTTTGACACTGTTTTCAAGTAAATATTTTGATATTGGTTGTTGTTGGCATTTTAAGAACACGTGATTATCTGTTGCTCAATGCCATGTTCATATACAAGTTTGCTCATTTATTTGTTGAGTTTAATATGCGAGGAGCTTCCAACTGAAAAGAGAAAGTTGATTGTATTCTCTAAGTCTTATGATGGCAGGCTTATAATCTGCATGTGAAGTGTTGAGAGCATGATACTATTTAATTACCTAGGTTCATTGAAAATGGTTATAGACTCATGGCTATGTTTTTGCTTTTAAATATAATAGCCTGGCCTGAAGAATGGTACTTGCATCTACCTGACCTTTTTTTGTTTATCCATTATATTGCTTTCCAATTATTTTTTTGTTTTATTTGACATTGTATACTTGATTTATTGCTACGGCTACTAGGCATATAGATGGGCTGTCCAATTTCATGTTGTTACTCTCTAATTTAAATTGATAATACACTCCCTGTGTATTATGCATTCATTAATAAAATACTTGATTACCTTTCAAAAAAAAAAATTATTTTCAGCGTGTTTGATGTTTGTATTAGTTACCAGTGGAGGAGATTGAGGATCAAGAAGGAATGTTAAATTGGGTATGGGGGCAGGAAATAACCCATCATGCAGGAACTAGTATTTGGCCAAGCACTTGTATGTTTTGGCACCATTTTATCCTCTTCCTATATAATTTCTGTCCACAACAAAAAAAATTAAAATTGTGTAAGTGGTCTTTTGTATTGGGTCCCCAAGACTGTTTGTTACCCTATTGTCTTGAGCCCTCACTAGTATTAACCTAGATGGATGTAAATTCCTGGAATTGATTGTGGGGGCGCATTAATGACTGTAGCACATGCATTTGGAGATAAGTCTGGTTAGTTTTGTGGTTTTGTGAAGGCTCTTCCAGGCAGGGTTTCGAAGGATTGTGATGTGTGAAAGGTTGTCTGCTGGACATTTCTAGTAAAAGGTCTTAGCTTGAGATTCCTTCGTCATGCACATTGTGATGGATATGATTGTGCACATTTTCACAATGTAGTGAATCCTCCACGATCCCACCAATTCTTGCTTGAGTTTATCTAGAGAGACTGGTAATGGCAGTTTGAATGGAATACTATAAGCCAAACTCATGTCTGTAATGCTTCTTGTCTCTCTTCAGTGTGAGGAATGGTCAAAGTTGAGTTTGTCTAATTGCTTCTTGACTTCTCAATTAATTGATCTCTGCCTTTTCCTAGACCACCATTATGAAATTTGATGTCCGTAGACTGTAAATACATTTACTTTATTGAATGATATGTCTGGAACTGTAGTAAGTTCTTTGAACAGTCACTGAAATTTAACATGGTCACGACTTACTCATTGAACTTCAAATTGCCTCTAAATGGTCACTGAACTTTCATTAATTGCACCACATCCAACACTCAGAGGGCAGTGGGGTGGGCAATTGGAATAGAGTTCAGTGACCATTTAGAGGCAATTTGATCATTCAGTTGCGGTGATCTAGTTCAGGGACAAGTTCTAAACACCCCGGCCTTTACAAGCATTTGTCTAAACTTCATACTCGATAAATTTTTGACTCCTCTGCCAAAGACAGTCGAGGGTACTAATATCTTCTTCACCACGTAGTAGCATCACCTACTTTATTCCTTTGACCATATGATTAAGTCATTTTTTGATTAGAATATGTGAGGTTACTGACACCCCTTATCTCCTTGGCAGTGGAAGAAAATTTGTAAATCTGATTGTCTTTTTGAGCCCCATTTTTTGCCAAAATGTATTTTGGAATAGTACTTTGATGGAGAATGTGTGGTAAAAAAATAAAGAAATTTTTTGGATTTGCTTGTAATATTATTTTATTTAAGAATGTGTGATTGAAAATAAAAGAGAGGAAAATGTATTTTGCAAATAATGGGGACCAAACATCTTTTGAGGGACGGATTACTTTCCAAAAATTTTGAGGGCATGAAGACCGTCTGACTGTTATCGTTCAGGAAGGAAAAGTGCTTAATCGGTGTCTCATTCAGGGATTTTTTTTATTGTCATTTATAGCCACTGTTAACTTTACAAATATGTTGTCAGGTGCTTGCAATAAGAGGATGGAGTTCTTCATTCTCTTTTTGTTCTTTCATACGCTATTTTCTTTTTCAGATATTTCAATTATTGAGAACTTAGGCCATTAAGTTGGCAATTGCCAACTTCTGTTCTTTTGCAGTGTTTCTTCTTCAGACTTAGTTTCAAAGTGGATGGGTGAAAGTGAGAAGCTAGTTTCAAATCTCTTCCAAATGTCTCGTGAAAGTTCTCCATCCATTATATTCATTGATGAAATAGATTCCCTTTGTGGCCAACGTGGAGAAGGAAATGAGAGTGAAGCTTCTAGACGGATCAAAACAGAATTGCTTGTGCAGATGCAGGTAATGTCATGTAATGAATAAAAGATTCATTGAGCTGAACCCAAATTTATGGAATAAGACTAGATTTTTTTGTTGTTGATGACGTCGTCTCTCATAATGACAGTCAAAAGTTTTTATCGATTTTCTCTCCTTTTCTCTGGTGATACTGGTTCTTATCTCCTATTAATTTTAGGGGGTTGGCCACAATGATGATAAAGTTCTTGTACTTGCTGCCACGAACACTCCTTATGCTCTTGATCAGGTAACAACTATTAATACTACTCAGGCACAGTGTGGGGCCGCAATAATTTTTCAACAAAGAAATATTTTTCTTATAGGCTATCCGGCGACGATTTGATAAGCGCATTTACATCCCTCTCCCAGATCTGAAGGCACGGCAACACATGTTCAAGGTACAGAACTTGTCTTGTGCCTAATGAACGAAGAGAGTTGAATGAAGATTAACACGCTCTTTTGTGCGTATTTGTCACTCTTATGCAGGTGCATTTAGGAGATACCCCTAACAACTTGACTGAAGGAGATTTTGAAGACATGGCTCGTAAATCCGAAGGATTCTCTGGTTCAGATATTTCTGTTTGTGTAAGTATGTGGCTGATATATTGAGTGACTAATGTTAAATAGACTCCTTTGGATATTGGGTGCTCGCCTACACTTTTTGCAGCTTATTTTGATGTCCATTTTACGAGTTTAACAGGTTAAGGATGTCCTATTTGAGCCTGTGCGGAAAACGCAAGATGCCATGTTTTTCATCAAGACTTCTAACGGTATGTGGATGCCATGTGGACCAAAGCAATCAGGTGCCGTCCAGATATCAATGCAAGAGCTTGCTGCTAAAGGACTTGCTTCACAGGTATTAGATTTGATTATTTAACTACTGTTTGTGACTTAAACCTCAAGTCCTTTGTACTTTATTTTTAAATAATTATTATAAGGTGCATTGACGGAAAACTGACCCATGCCGGCTGGTGTAGTATGGCCTGAACCTAGCCAATTTCGGGTTTTTTTTTTTTCAAGTGGGCTAATTCAGAGTCTTGTACTTTGCCCCCCCACCCCGCACCTCACTCACCTCACCTCACCTCACCTCCTCTTAAAAAAGAAAAAAGGAGCGCTTGACAGCGCTAGGCCCGGCCTTTAGCATGCCAGGCCTGGACCACCTGACAAATTTTTATCTCTCTCTGCGCGTATGAGAGTGAGTTACCTTTCATTCTCTTATCCTGACTGAAGCTATTTCTAGAAAGAGTGTTTCTCGGTACATCTGACTGACTATTGATTAATGCTCTTTTGCAGATCATTCCACCTCCGATATCAAAAATGGACTTTGATAAGGTGCTCGCAAGACAGAGGCCTACGGTGAGCAAAGCTGACCTTGATGTTCATGAGCGTTTCACAAAGGAGTTCGGTGAGGAAGGTTGAGAAAGTCGAGGTGCATAGATTGCTACAATTCATGCAATTGCTGGCATTTGTATTTTATGTGTTTCTACTGTTTTCAAACATAAACCGCCTCTTGAGGCAGGGAAGTGACACGACTGCCATTTCCCACATATCGAGCTGGAAAATGAGCTGACAATTCTCAAATCGCCTGTATTAATTTGCGTACAAACGTCAAGAATACTGCCCGAAAACAATGTTAATATTTATGGATGTGCAATTCTGGTTGCAATTGAATTGTATCAAAGATTTGTTCCTCCGTAACTAAGCTATGAAGCCTTTGATTTGTTCACTTCCTATGGGATAGCAACTGCACAAGTTCTTTTCCATGGACATATTAGGGAGTCCTTTCTCTCCTTTGTATTTGCGTGTCAAAATGCTAGGTTTGTCCTTGCAACGATTTATCATTTCTTCGAATACTTTTATAAGATAAATAATTTTGATAAAGAATAGGTCGGTAGAAAAGATTCATGAATATTTGGAAGCAGAAGAACCATTTTCAAATAGCGTTCAATCAATTACTTATTAATCAATATCAATTGATTGGTTTGAGGTTAACGACAAAAAAGATTCATCAGGAGTTGTAGGTATTATTGGAGTTAATTACCCCAATAGTCACTGAACTTTACTGAAAGTTTCTACCAAGTCACTGAACTTTTAAAACTACGTGGTTAGTCACTGAACTTTCGAAACTGCAACCCTATCCATCACTGAACTTTAAAAATCACCATATTAGTCACTGAACTTTACAAAAGATTTCTACGGAGTCACTGAACTTTACAAAAAGTTTCCCAGATGATCACCGATTCAGTGACCATCTAAGAAACTTTTTGCAAAGTTCAGTGACCATCTGGAAAACGTTTTGCAAAGTTCAGTGATGAATGGGGTAATTTTTAAAGTTCAGTGATGGATGAGATTGAAGTTTCGAAAGTTCAGTGAATAACCACGTAATTTTTAAAGTTCAATGACTTGGTGGAAACTTTCGGTAAAGTTCAATGACTATTGGGGTAATTGGAGTACCGGGTACTTAATTAACATTAAGAACTTTTCAAATTGACAGAGTATTATTCAAGGTGGGTATAGCAAGACCATTCGTTGAAGATAAAAGTACATTGAACCCATATAAAATTTACCAATGAGTGGATTGTATTCATTGAGCAAATAAACACTACTTTTTGGATGGACAGAAGATTTTTTAGGGGTTTCAACCTTGGCTGAGCATAAAGTTTTGGATCAACAAGCTTCAATTCTTGATGAGAAATATAGTTGTGTAATTTTTATTGATAAAAAAGACATTTTTTGACTGTCAAAAAGGGTTAATTTTGCACTATCGAGATCAAGTATTTTTTATTTGAGGTTGAGAAATAATTTTTTAGTTTTAATTGAACTGTGGTGTGCACTCTCCATTTTAGTTCCATTCGTGTCAATTTCTATAGGTTTTTAATGTGCAAATTTGTTATTTGAAATTTGCTAGATGTACAGAAAGAAGTCCACAACCAGAATACACACATTTATGTGGACCCCACGGAATGAGAGGGACCTGTATTCTATGCAATTCTGGTGGGCTTCTTTTTCTGTACATGGGGGATAAACCTTGTTATTATTTGTCTGTAAGAAGAATTGGACAATTGGTCCTATTTTGTCAGGATTCAGCCACCTTTTTATGCAATAACAGTAGATGGGGCACAAAAGAATTGGTCTTTCCCGTGTTACTCTTTAGCAAATTAACTCAAATTTAAACTAGAAGCTGTACGAATTTTAATGAAAAAAATAAATAAATAACGAAGAGAAGATAATTGTTGAAATGTGACCTTCAATTTAAGAATTCATTCTCAAATTTAGAGTTAATAGTATAAACTTTGGTCATTTCATTTAGTTCAACTCGAATATTTAGGTCTCATTTGGCAAGACTTTTGAAAAGTCTAAAGTTGCCATTAAGAAACTGATTTTGAATATATTTAGATAATTTTCTAAAGAAGTATTTTGCTTGATTTCCACAGAAAACTTTTCTACAAGAAGCAGAAGTCCTACCAAACGAGCCCTTATATATTGTAAATTTTATATAATGTGGATTATATATATCTACTTTCAACTCTACTCCAACAAATACCACTTCAACGGAAAAGAAGAGCTCAATATACTGTCTATACTCATTTAATACTACATGCCAAACATGAGCTCGTTGTACATTAACATGCTTTTATTTTAATAAAATTAACTCCATAAACAAGATTATAATCCAGAGAATATCTCATATTCCATAATCCAAATGGAAATGAATGATAATTAGGGTACAAACAGAAGCCGGCTTAAAAATTCCAAGCCAAAAACAGTCAAAACATCAAACTGATGCTTATGTACTTTTACTAAGCCGGCTTAATATCAGTATTCAGTACACTAAACTCAAATTTTGTCTATAAAAACCCATATAATTAGCAGTTTCTAATATGCCTTTTTTCATTAAACATTTTTTTCTTGGCAACATGAAATTTGTGAAACTTTTTTCTCTGATTTTGTTGTTTAGATTTGCATTAGTACATGGAGCCACCCACAATACAAAGGTACTGCATGCATGAGCCTATGTAAAATTTAGTTGGAGTATAGTATCTTATACTTGAGTTGAGCAAAAGATCCGTACACATACTATGATTTTATAGCTACATAAATCGTAACTTATACTTGAGTCGAGTAGAAACTCAACACATACTATAATTTGACATCTATAGATTGATAGTGTTTGGTACATGAATTATATTGCACTAGATATTACTTAAAAAAAGAAAAATCGTTCATTATACTGTCCAATCTTGATCCTTCAAAGCTATAGTACTAAAATTTCTTGTGCATGCTTATTAGTAAGATGGGTAATCTTGATTTTTCACAATCTTGCAGCATTACATTGTCTACATGGGGCATAACTCCCAACACTCCAACTCAGAATCTGCCATCAAGACTAACCATGAAGTGCTGGCTTCAGTCATTGGAAGGTAATTATGCAATTTTCAGAAATCATATTCTAGTATGTTGTTATTTATCGCTCGTCTGGTAAAGTGAATTGTAGAGTGTGCACGAACTTATTAATAACCAAAACAAGCTGAAATTTTGTTAGCTGAAATGTCATATCCTATCCAGCGCAAACAAGAAACTAAAATACCAGTGAATTTGTTTTCAGCCATGATGGAGTACAAGATGCAGCACTTCACCATTATACAAAAACTTTCAGAGGCTTCTCTGCTATTCTAACACCAGATCAAGCTGCAAAACTTGCAGGTACCCTCTGATAACTCGATGGTCTAATAACACGTGCAAGCAGATGTGCGATAAACCCATTTGCCAAAGGAACTGCTTGTGGTTGTGCTAATAGTAAATACATTGAACATGCTAAAATTAAACTTATCTGGTATGATTGAAGATCAATCAAATTAGACTTCATATAGGAGTTATCTGGTATGATTGAAGATCAATCAAATTACAAGACTTCACATAGGAGTCCCTTTACCAAGACAGTGATAATGATTTTGTATTGTCTAAAAACCTCATATACAACCTCATTACAGTTCATGACATCCGTAAATTTTCAGATATAACCTAGGTTGCTATTCTTTCAAGTACAATTACTACAAAATATACAGGAATAATAAGAAAACAAGTAGCCTACTCTAGTTTTGATTGTTTCATTGATTGCAGAGCACAATTCAGTTCTGTCCGTGTTTGAAAGCAAGACAAACAAGATCCACACGACACACTCGTGGGAATTTCTGGGCTTAAACAGATTGCAACGAAATAATCAACTATCAACGTACTCAACATCTGACACAATTGTTGGTGTCATTGACAGTGGTAAAAGTCGATATTTAATATTGTTTGAACCTTCTAATGCTCTTGAATCAACCACTATAAAATCACACCACCAATTATCTTACCTCCAGGAATTTGGCCTGAATCGAAGAGCTTCAACAGCTACGGATTAGGACCTGTGCCCGCAAAATTCAAGGGGGAATGCTCAGCTGGAGAGAATTTCACATTGTCCAACTGCAACAGGTAGCCATCACGGCATAACCGCATGATATATGATAAGCAAACTTCAGAAAAGTTGATATGCTACTGTCTGAATTCATTTTCAGAAAAATTGTGGGAGCCAGATTTTATTCAACAGGGTTTGAAGCAGAAAATGGTCCTCTAGAATCATTTGGTCTTACCTTTTTCCGATCTGCACGAGATAGTGATGGGCACGGAACCCATACTGCCTCCACTATTGCAGGCGCACCAGTTGACAATGTTAACTTATTTGGAGTAGGGACAGGCACTGCAAGTGGAGGTGCAATAAATGCTCGACTTGCAATCTACAAGGCTTGCTGGTTCAATCTCTGTAGTGATGCAGACGTTCTTGCTGCTTTAGATGATGCTACTAATGATGGAGTCGATATTATATCCATGTCTCTTGGACCAGATCCGCCCCAACCTATCTACTTTGAGAATGCGATTTCAATTGGAAGTTACCACGCGTTTCAAAAAGGAATTGTGATTTCTGCATCAGCCGGGAACAGTTTTTTTCCAGGTACTGCAACTAATATTGCTCCTTGGATCCTAACTGTTGCAGCAAGCACCATGGACCGTGAAATTCAGACTAATATTTACCTAGGAAATTCAAAAGTCATAAAGGTAATTGATTGATAATAATTTACTTTATTCACCTAATTCAAACAAAGATTTCTGTTACTGATTTACAAGGTCCATATGTTTAGGGCTTCAGTATAAATCCACAAAACATGGAGAGCTTTTACGGTTTGATAGCAGGGAGCATGGCATCGGTTCCTGGAGTTAACCCAAAAAATGCTAGGTACCTTTTTTTTTTTTTTCAAAAAGAAAACTTTGGCTTCACCCTCGATACATGCATACTCAAGGAATATCATCATCCCTGCCAAAACTTTTTACATGCCTCTCCTAATCATGTCTGAAGTATGACGTGTCCTTCGGTCCTTTAATAGGACTTTACACTCTCACTAATTCCATTAATTATTTACTTGTTCTGAAATTTCTATGTTTTTTGTATCTTTCCCTTTCAGTTTCTGTAAGAACAATACCTTAGATCCCAACTTGATTAAGGGGAAGATTGTTGTCTGCACACTTGAGATACTCACTGATAACCGCAGGGAGAAGGGCATTATTGTAAAACAAGGTGGTGGTGTAGGGATAATACTCGTCGATCCACTTGCCAAAGATATCGAAATTCAGTTTGTACTACCAGGTACCTTGATAGGTCAAGAACAAGGAGCAGAGCTGCAAGCATACATGACTGCACAGAAGTAAGTTGTATTTTTATCTAAATTGAAGAGAAACAACCAATTTGTCAAATATTAAATACAAAGAGATGTAACATTTACTATTTAATTGTCAAGCAGTAATAATACTAATTTGGTCGTTACAGGAATCCAGTGGCCAGAATATACCAAACAATTACAGTTTTGCCCACTAAGCCAGCCCCCGAAATGGCTATGTTCTCATCAATGGGTCCAAATGTTCTCTCTCCAGATATAATCAAAGTACATACTCAAACCTTTTGCAATTTCTCTATTGGAAATGCATTTGATGAGCTTCACAGTGAATATGAACAATAAAAATGAAGAGAGAGAAGGCCATTGTATTTTTCTTAATTCATAAAGAGAAATTTCACATACCTGAATGCAACAACCTTGTCTTCTGATTTCAGCCCGATATAACAGCACCTGGCGTGAATGTTTTGGCAGCATGGTCTCCAGTTGCTACCGATGCTACTGCTGGTAGATCCCTTGACTACAACATAATCTCTGGTACTTCCATGTCTTGTCCACATGTTTCTGCACTAGCTGCCATTGTAAAATCCTCTAATCCTTCATGGAGCCCAGCAGCAATAAAGTCTGCAATAATGACAACAGGTAACTTTTGATGATTACAAAACAGATAACCAGTTAACATAATACATCCATTAATTCGTTTTCATGTAAGCATGATTGTTTTGGAACAGCAACATTTCTTGATAACACTCAGAGCTTCATCAGAAGACATCCAAATGACACTCAGACCTCGCCTTTTGACTATGGATCCGGGCAAATAAATCCAGCTGCAGCAATTGATCCTGGTTTAGTTTATGATTTTGATTCTACCAACATTATTGATTTCCTCTGCAGCACTGGTGCAAGTCCTGCTCAGCTGAAAAACCTTACTAGTGATACGATGTATTGCAAGAACACCCCCACATCCCCTTATGATTTCAACTATCCTTCAATTGGGGTCTCCAATATGAAAGGAAATCTGTCCGTGCATAGAACGGTGACATATTTTGGTAAAGGGCCAACTGTTTATAAAGCAAAAATGGCCTACCCGGCTGGTGTAAAAGCCTCAGTCATACCTAGTGAGCTCAAATTTGAAAATCCAGGGGAGAAGATGTCTTTTAGGATAGATTTTACACCCTACAAGACTAGTAACGGAGACTTTGTTTTTGGGGCCTTGACATGGACTAATGGGATCCACAGAGTAAGGAGTCCTATTGGTCTTAATATACTATCAGTTTAGGAATCAAATTTAATCATATGTATTAAACAATTGTAAGTCTCTGAGATTACATATTGCAAGGGATGATACCTTTCAGAAGGAAATAAATTGTAACAGGCATTTCAATGATAACACCATAACCATACTAGCATGATCTACAAAACCTTTAGCTAACACCATATTTGGCATTTAGCACCATCATTCAGATACGTAATATTTTGCCCAATGACTAATGGTGGCTCTTTAACCATATTATTTTTCAATAAAAACTTAAACGAGCATTTCTTTCTTTCTTTCTTTCATTTTTTCCTTAAAACTACCTTCTTATGTTGAAAGTATGCAATGGTAATATTGACATTTCACTGGCAGATTTTACACAAGCATGTTTAACATGGATCGTGGAGTCTATGATAGATGTCTTCACAACTCCCAGACTGTGCTTTTCTGTAGAAACCGTACTCACTCAAATATGTAAATTTAAGCAATCTAGAAAATCAGACAGACCTTCACATGCGTGTTTTGAGAGCAGTTGTAGATGATGGATGGTAATTTACATCTCTTAATCTATGAGAAACAAGACAACTACTTAAAGTACAACATCTGTGAATGTATTCACCTGGATTCTGAAATGGAAACACTTTCATGTAAATATGAAGAAAACCTTTTGAATTCTAGTTATGTTGGTGGCAACATGAAGCCGAAAACCTAAACTTAAAACTGATAGTAGAAAGAAGTCCACTGTTGTCATAGCAATGTGAAGAACCACAGAATTTCTGGTGGGAAACAAGGCAAGCGTAATATTTTGTGCCCAAACAACTGTGTAGTTTCTCCTTGTCCTTGTAAGCTTATTATTGCATTGCTAATCTGTTAAAAAAAGAAAAAAAACAGTGGAATCAGATTAGGAAAAAGACTGCAGTTAAGAGGCATTAAAATGTCCAAAAGGACGGCTAATTGGCCGCTGGAAATACCTGAATTCTTGATGTGGACCATCACTTGAACATGAGGGCAGGCCAATCTTGTAAAGGATACTCAAAGTAAAGCTTAATAAACAAATAGTGCTTGGGGTGGATTCCGAGGCTGGTCCTGGGTGATAATGGACTTGATTGTGTCCCTTCTATTACCTGCACGTTTTGATAGAATTGGTTGCGTCACTGTACACCAGTGATTTCCTTGACCATTCTAAGGGTTTGATCACGCCTCTGCTACTAACTACGACTTTTGGGTGAATTGATTGTGTCACCCTACATTAATTGGTTTCCGAGCTAGAGTTCTCCCAAAAGGAAGGGAAAACGAAGCAGAGAATTACTTGAACACGAGGGTAGGCCAATCTTGTAAGGGATCCTTGAAGTAAGGTCCAAACAAATAGTGTCTGGGTGAATTCCCGGGTGTTCTCCTGACTGATAAAGCGCTTGATTGTATCTCTCCTGCTAGTTGCAGTTTCCGGGAAAAAATGCCGTGTCGCCTTGCATCAACTCTTCTCTCACTGAACAAGGCGGGGTCTTGCAATTCATTCAAATATCACCAGTAGTCCCCACAGGAGCACAAGCCTTCTCTAAAGTGATGAAATCGATTTGAATCCCTGACAACAATTTCTCTTCCTTCAATTTTTGTTATAAGCTTAATCACTGTGTGACAATCACCACAAACTCTAAGATTCTTCATGACCTGAATTGGGACACCAGGAGATGTAGAAATTAGTCCAAAAGCAATAGCCAACCTCTCACTGTGCTGAGAAAGAATGGCTTCTTTATGCTCTTCTTCAATATCATGGAGTACATAATTTGTATCTGGTCGATATCCTGCATCCCTCAATGGAGTATTTAATTCTTCAAGCTTCATATAAATGCGATCTGATAAAGGATGCGAAGCATCGCCAGCCACAAAAGAGTAGGTCTTGTTCTTAATCTCAATCCAGCTATATCCTGTTTCCTTTTTAACTTTTTTCTCATCCATCAGTTTTCTCGCCTTTGCCCTATCTTGCCACTTTCCACAAACCGCATATAAATTAGATAGCAAGACATATGAAGCCGAATCCTGTGGTTGAAGTAGAATGAGTTTTTCCGCTGCAAGTTTCCCCAGCTCTAAGTTTTGATGAACTCGGCATGCTGACAATACAGTACGCCAAATAGTTGCCCCTGCATGGAAGGGCATCCCTTCGATTAGAGTCATAGCTTTATCCAGCATTCCAGCACGGCTATACAGATCAACCATGCACGAATAGACCTCCATTGTAGGAGGAATGTGAAGATCCTTTACCATCATATCAAAATATCTTTGACCTTCATTCACGAGTCCTGCATGAGTACAGGCAGAAATGACACCAATAAATGTTATTTCATCCATATCCATGTTTCCCTTTTGCATTTCCTTAAATACCTTTAACGCCTTCTTCCCAGAACCATGTTGTGCATAACCTGATATCATCGAGTTCCACGAGATTAAGTCCCTTTCCTTCTGCCTCTTAAAAACTTCATTTGCACTTTCTATATTCCCTCTTTTTGCATACATGGTCACAAGAGCACTGCTCACAATAACAGCATTACTATATCCTGATTTGATTGAGCTTGCATGAAATTGTTTCCCTTGCTCTGTTGCTGCCGTGGGTGAAGCACATGCGTTGATTATACTAGAGAAGCTATACTCATTTGGCCTGACACCCTCCTTGGCCAATTGGCAGAAAACTATTACAGCTCTCTCAGGATCTCCTCCTTGGGCATATCCAGCTAACATCGCAGACCACGCAACAACATCCTTCTCTTCTATTTGTTCAAAAACTTTTGCAGCTTCACTAGTCTTTCCTATCTTAATATAAGCATCCAGTAACGCGGTTCCTACTGAAGTTGATTTCTCATAATTGATTTTTATGATTTCCGCATGCACTTGAAACAATGAAATCAAGGGGTGAACTGTGAGTACTGTTGAATAAGTGAAATGATTTGATCTAAAGCCTTCTGTCCTCATTTGATAAAAGAGATCTACTGCCCGCTCTGGTCTGCCATTCTGTAAGTACCCCCCAATGATTGCTGTCCACGTTACCACGTTCTGGGCTCCACCCATGGTGGAGAACAACTTAAATGCATCGTCCGTTTCACCCCCTTTCATGAAGGAGACCAGTAGAGCTGTTTGAATGTTATCATAATTTCCAAACCCGCTCTTAACAACTAGACAATGGATCTGCCTGGCAAACTTCACTTCCTTAAGGTTAGCACATAACTTAATAATCGTAGCAAAAGTTGTCTGCGTCAACTTTACATTGGCAAGCATCATGCTATTGAATAGATCAAGGGCTTCCAACTCAAGCCCGTTCATTACAAGACCTGCAATCATTCCATTCCAAGAAACCACATCCCTCCACCCCATTCTGACAAACACACCTCTAGCCTCTCTAATCATCCCACACTTAGAATACATACTGACCAAAGAGTTTCCCACAGACCTAGTCAGCTCATAACCATTCTTAATAACTATGGTGTGCACTATAACTCCCCCCTCTATGGCTCCCTTATCTGCCAAAGCTCCAAGAATTGTGGCAAAAGTAAAAGGATTCGGCTCGATACCCTCCACTTGCATAACATTAAAAACTTCTATCACCTTATCAATAACACCCTTTTGTGCATAACCTGCAAGTAACGAAGTCCAAGTGACCACATTCTTCTCTCCCATCTCATCAAACACTCTTTTCCCATCATTTAAATTCTCATTCTTAATATACATATCAACAAGTGACGTGCCAACGCTAACATTTCCAAAAAACCCACTTTTAATACATTGACAATGCACTTGTTTTCCGTAAAAACAATGACGAAAGCTTGCGCAAACTTTTAGTATACAGGATAGGCTAGACCCGTCCACTAAAAAACCCGAGCCATGAATACCTGCATAAAGATTTAACGCCTCTTGGTTAAAACCATTGCGAGAGTACTCAAAAAGCAAGTGATTATAATACGCAATGTCTCTTTGAGGACAAATATCGAACGTGTTGTGTGCATTCTGTGTATGAGACGGAGCAAGAGGTTCGCCTAGTTTATCAGAATCAATGGCAATGGCATACGAATGCAGGAAATGAAAAGTTTGAAATGGGTTTTGGAACTTGGATTTAGTTTTGAGTTTTCTTAATCTTGGAATCATGGTATGAGTTGTTCAATACCGGTGTGTGGGAGGCACTAATTTTGAATTTTGGTTCCAATTTTCTAACGGATGGGTCAAGTTATCATTTGACCCGTGCTCTTGAGTTTGGGACCTTGGGTCCTTCAGGAGAGGATTGAGGTGGGACCGGCAATCTTGCTACACACATCCTGATTTAACACAATCTCTCGTCATTTTTCACATCTCACATCCAACCGTTAATAACACTTTCATGTCATCAATCTATTAACAAAAAACGTACAAATAGCTTAATCTTTGAAATATAAATCCTCAACTCATTATTCTGACAATAAGTTGGTTCACAAACTTCCAATCCTCATTCACGATGAGTCAAATGATAAAACCAATCAAGTTTCTACTAAGTTGTCAATTACCTAATTAGTTATACCGTTCAACTCAAGTACCTTATAAACCAATAATATGTTATTTTCTCCATTCTAAATGATAGAAAGTGAGTTTTTGCTTAACTGTTACATAGTTGGTTCATCAAAAATTCGTTTATTCATGTTTTTGGAAGTGGAACAATAATCGAAAAGCACAAGTTGATAACTAAAAAGTAAAACAAGAAATGACAAGAAAATAGTTACGACGGGACACGTAATGGACAAGAGAACAAAGTTATTTCATGTTTCTCCAGCTTTATTCTTGCATTGCCTCGTTCCTATACTCCTATACACGCAAATGAAATAGTCATCCAACCTACGCATTATAGTACATGTCACAAGATTCTACTAAATTTTACAATCAACGGCCTTCACCCAAGCTTGAAACCAGTGTAGCAAGCAAAAGTACGCGCACTGATGAAAGAAGAAACTGTTCTTGTTAATTGACGTGATCATTATGCATCCAAAATTACTCGCTGATTAACCTCTCGTATTTTAAGAATATGGCTCCATTTCAATGCCCCTCTGCAACATCTATCCTGGCTTTCTCAAAAATGTGCTGCTTTGTGCTTTGAACTCCTCGAGCAGCTGTGGAATTTGGCAATCGGAAGAAGATCCATCACCTAACCCGATCACACATTTAGCTTATGATGGAAAACATATCATCCTCACTTTCATCTGACTTCTAAGATCCATGACACACATTCTTCAAGCAGTTGAAATTTCTGATCCACGGCTACGTTCAAGAAAACTTGCATTTTGTTGCGGAACTCAGAGGAATCTTCCTTGCACCTAAATGATCCAGCACACGCACAGTGTTCAGATAAATGTGCAGCTTTGATTTGATTGCACTTAAGGCACACCAGATCCTGAAGATGGAAGAGTCGTTCTCTCTGTCGTATAATCTGAAGAAGAGCATTCTCCATCACCTCGCGATCATATGGTTGCCCACACTGAGGCACAGCACAACGCCATTCCTGAGCAATTAAGGCCCTGTCACTGCACAAATCTAGATCTCTGCAGTCGTTGCAGTAACTGCTAACAGGATAGAGTTGGGATATTAGTAGATATAAGTAAAATGTTACAACCAATCACATATTTAAAGTTATTTCGAAAGAAAATAATCCATATAAAATCATTATTTTCACATTTTTCCTTGAAAAAAAAAATTAGTTCCGACTTACCTGCAAATGATATTTGGTAAAGTTAAGGACATTGATAAATTTTGAAATTCGGCCTCCGGAGCAAATTCCCTTATGCGGACCAATTTTAAAAGATTCCTTCTCATGATCTGCACAAATACAAGGCAGGAATAAAATTACTCAGATGACTGGTTGGATCAGACCTCTTTAGGTAAGTGCAACAAAAACATTATCAAATGAGCAAAAAGGAATATATAAAAAAGAAAGAAAAAATAGTAAAAACGAGTATTTCACACATAATATAGAATCATTTCCATATGGTATTGAATTCAGATAGAACTTGAAAAAATTTAGAGACAACTACAGTGTAATACATCCTAAAATGCCGTAAATCATAAGCTTAGGAAATTTAAGCATTAAAAAGGAAAATAGTGGAAATGCTATAGAGAAAACTAGCATCAATAGTCAATGAGTAAGAATCCTCTACCCACATCCATCAAAAATAAGTAAAGGGAGACGTAATTTTCAGAGTCGATCTGTTTTAAATTTCATATGAAATTAACATTCATGTTATAAAAATTCAGAGATCAATCTGAAAATGCTGATAATTTATAGTAAGACGGCAGGACTAGACATCATAGCTCCAACTTTACAGGCACACAATGCATAGCTCACCTCACAAGAAAATAGTAATATTAAATTTACTATGCCTAGGATGTGCAGAAATATGCATACCAGAACTTCATGCTGAACATTTTGGTCAAGAGCCAAAACTGCACAGATATACTTGATGAAATCCAGAGCAGGATCCCCCTTATGAATATTGTTAAAAGGTCCAGTTGAGATGGGATGGTCACTCTTGTGAAGACTTGGATCACATACAATTTTAAGAAGTTTGTCTGAGAAGTAAGATCCAATCTGCAGGACATACAATTACTTGAGTCAAGTTTAATTGGTCAGAGAGAGTTCATAAAACATATTTAAAATTATTGCAAGTTACTCTCAATTAATACCTCTTTCTTCAGATAAGTGTTCATCTGTGATTCAAGAATTTCTGCAGTTGCAGCTGTGATTGATGGAGTGCACAAGTCGCCAATAGTATGAGCTCGGCTTGTAGCTTGTTCTTGTGCATACTTCCATGGCTCATAAATAAATTCAGAAACAATCAAGATGAAATGATCCTGTATAAAATAATATTTCACAGTTGATTAGGCAGAACACTCATAAAACATCACATAGATGATGCTTAGCTGTGAGGTTTCAATTTGGAAAACAGGGGGTTCATTTACCCAAGTGAAGTTACCTAAGCAGGCAGGAACCCCTTTGTGAAACCCTACTATCTAGCTATACAACATCCCAAATAGAGTCGATCAGAGAAGACCATGGGATTAGATATGAAGTATTGCGGATCAGAATTCAGTGGTCTGTGAGAAATGAGAGTCTGATAATTATTGGCTAGTTGAGATTGGCCCAAATGGTTCAGATCTGGCAGTATTGGATGCTTCTTTTACTCTTTAATCTTAAAACTGTGTGATTCGAGTTGCAGTGATGATGGTGAATTTTATGTCCATAACTGTATTGCGATAGTGATCCTGGTTCCAGGCATGAGAAGCAATGATGGTTGCTTTCTTTAATAGGTATTGAGCTATCATGGTAATGGAGGTCCAGAGAATGGTTGAAGGCAGCAGTCATAGCTACATTTCTTCCTTGTGTTACAGACTGTTAAACCACTTGATCTAAAAGTTTAAACCATTAGATAGAGCTACGTTTATATTATTTAAATATTGTCTTCAACATGCCCCCTCATGTGTAGACGTGTTTACATTTTTTCCTATAAAAGCCTGATACATAGACAATTTAATTTAAGTGGGCGACGGACATGAACCCACGACCTTTGTCTGCTCTAGTACCATATTAAACAATTTGATCTAAAATTTTAAACCGTTAGATTAGACCACATTTATATCATTCAAATATTACCTTCAATACACGCTTATAGTGATTTTGATGATGGTTATAGAAAGGTGGCAATTGTGCCTTTAGAATTCATGATTCCAGTAATGGCAGGAACTTATATGCTTTATGGAGACTTTAAGGACAGGTTTATAAATTCAAATGAAACCTCCGGGCACTAAGAACATCCAAAATTTCGATCCTCCAGCGATCAAGTCGTAAAAGCTATCTTTAATAAAATAAATTATAGACTAATGAGCTACCTGAGTTGCTTTAGGTAAGTTTTCTGCAATATTCCAGCTTGAGACAATTTCTACTTGAAATTCATCTGGCGTGCTTTCAATATTTACTTCTGAATTTTCTTCTGCTGATCTGTCCTTTAATCTAGCTTGAATTCCACCATAGTTGTACTACCAGGCAAAAAAGAAAAAGAAAGAAGAGAGAGAGAGAGAGAGAGAGAGAGAGAGAGAGAGAGAGAGAATAACTAGTCAGAAAGATGCAATGATGCAATATACGCACACATGGATGACTTCATGTTACACCCCGGTCAACCATCAATAAGATGAAGTATTGACCATCTCCAAGCAATCAAACAAGGAAAAAAGAAAAGCATGACTTGCACTGAGTAAGAGCTCCTACATAATAAGCCCCACCAGTCAAATTAACAGCATGCCATCTGGGGACGTTAAACCATAGTAAGTTATGAATTCTTGCCAAAATGAAGGAAGTTTATCAATACACTCCAAAGAGAAATTAAAGGTCTTGGAGTCCAACAACATTAACATTTGGTCTTTGATGCCATGAATGCACATTTCATTTGATAAATAAGAAAGAAAACAGTACGTGCAGATTAGTACAGGAAGTAGATTTAGCTTGGTGTCAGGAGACATATCAGTTTATTCCTTGAAAATCAGTTTTGGGTTTAAAAACGGTGTAGTGACCCAGAATGCGATAGTTAAATATTATTGAGTAATATGGTTGGAAAGAAATTGCAGAATTTTTTAAAGAAAAGAGCAAGGTTTTTTTTTTGTGTAATGGGACAGGTAAAATTCCTGGCTCAGTATGGGCATCAACTAGTAAGAAATTTAAGGGAGTTCCTTTATGAGTAATTGTTCTCAATTCCAAATAAGTACTTCCTTCTTGATTTTAATTTAGAGGATAGAGGATATTTTATCCTCCATAAATCAAAAACATTTTCTTTGACAAGTAAATTTTTTTTTTCTCATAAAATTCAAAAATATGTGTGTGTGTGTGAGGCATCACAAGCATGACAATGCTAACATTGTTTAAGGATGCCAGGCTGTTAATACCTAACTGTACCCAAATAATTTAGTAGTATCACATTTTATTAACCATATGGCACTAGATCACACCCAGGGAGCACAAGAAGATAAATGAATACTCAAAGCTAGTTACTATGGAAGCATGTCAGAGTACAACTAATTTCACAGTTAGTTTTCTTGATAATTAATCACTTAATTTATTAAACCCCGAGGGAAATTCTTCTTCATCCACGTAGATAAGCAATCTAAGTTAATGGTTCTCTCACATTGAAATTTTTTTTTGAGCCAATGTTATTATATGAAACTTCAGCTATCATAATGTACCCATGTCAAACCCACATATATTGCATTATTTTTCTCATACCATCGAGTTTTACTGAATGTATTTTGAGCAACCAAGTTCCTCTTTCATAGAAAAAAAAAAGAATTCTATGTGTAGAAAAAGCAGTGTGCAATTCAGGAGGACAAGAGGTCCACAAGGTCACTAGAGATCAACATATAATATCACAAAAAAAGAGTATTCAGTTATGCTGGATATCTGACTTTTATGATCAATAAAATGCACATGAAGCCTTGCATCATAAAGAAGCAAAGAAGATTTATTTTATCCTTAAATTGAAAAAGGGAAGGTAATATTTTCGAAGAATTTAATGTTTCTTTCTAATTGAATACACCATATATTTATGACAACACAACTTGATTATAGCATTTTTGTGTACCCATATCCAAATTCAAGACACTTAAATAATGCTTATCTGGATTTTAATATTTGACGATTGACATGTCCAGTTAGATCCATACTCATAGGAGAAACCCATACTAGTTAAATGACTTGGGGAATTGCATGTCATTATGCATGTGCATATTTTCTCACGGCATGATTGAAAAAGCAGGAGCCAAGTGTTCATGTATTTAATTGCAGCAAGTTAAAGAAAGTGATTGGACAGACAAATGAAAAAGTTAAACATGTAGAGCTACCTGATCCATAAAAAGCAAGGAATACCAAAACTGCAAGGGCTCAAGCTCAATCCACTCAAACAATTCTCTGTTAAATATCAAATTTGAGTAGATAATCCAAAAGAAAATAATTAACTTATCCGTAAGGTGTTCATCAAAATGCAAAGACATACCTAGTTTGTATAGTTTTGAGTATACTATCACAATAAGCTTTAGCTGCAGATAGATCTGACTTTCCTGTATTGATTATAACTTTCTTGAAGCTTGCAAATACGATTGATGCACCTAATTTACGAAACTCAGACATCAGCAGTGCAAACACCTTTTGCATAACCTGACAATGCAGATGACCGTATGTAAGAATTCATATAAAACAGATTAAACGCTATGAAAAATGAAGTTATGTGTAGAAACCGTTGACTGTGTTCTATGGCATTGAAGCATCTACTTAACAAAGTTACGCATTGCAGAATAAAAGAGGCCTCTATAGAAATAACTTTTGAGAATGACTAGATAATTGAGTATCGAATGCCAAAAAACTAACAAGGAAAGAGGAGAAACTTGGACTGAAGTATGTAAAGGCTGAGTGTCTACTCACGTGCACCGTGATACTCTTTTATCACTTTATAAACAATTGTCACATTTCCTCAACAAGGAATTACCTTATGAAGCGTGCGATGAAGAGCGGGGTCATGAAGTTTAGATTTTGGGCTGCAGAATAGTTTGCAAAGGTGTGATTATTTATGGAAGAAATAAGTGAAACCTTGAAAACCAGTATGCTTATAGCAACCTGCAGAGCCATCGGTACAAATGCTGCAACATAGCATCTGCAAACACATTTCCAGATGTAACTGCATCTGTAAGGCATCTTTGGATCAACTGTTTGAGGATGCGAAATGAAGGTCCACATGAGGTTGCCTCGTCATAACAATATCCATCATCAGAAAAAGGTGCTGCAGGATTCATGTCCTGGTCCGTAGCAAATAAAGAACCTCCTTCCATTTCATTCACTTGGTTACTTTTCAGAAGAGCATTGACAGCCAGGTGATGTATCTAAAGTAATATTAGAATACTCACAATCATCAGATATTGAGGAAAGGGAAGGGGTACGAGAGGGAAAAAAGAAAAAAGATATTAGACCTTAAGCTCCACAGTAACTTTTCTATATGCACCAGGATAAGCAAGAACTGGTTGATTGACCTGCTTTAATAAACAGCTGGTAATTCGTGTACATCTTATCACTAAAGAAGACGTATTCTTCAAATGCCAATGATTCAAAAAATGTAATGGTTGAAGAAAAAGGACCATAGCTGTGAGAGATAAAAGAGTCCTGTTTTCTCAGAACACACCTCATCAATAGAACAAGGCACTTCTTCATTTATGCCTCCCAAGTCTGGAATGCCATTATCAGATATCCAAAGAACCTGAAAGGATCAAGAAGGATAAAGTTACTCAGTTTGTTAAGCATGCAAGCATTACCTAAGACATGAATTGTGAGGCATACAAGCTATTTTTTTTTATTCATTTTACCCCAAACTCTAAGCATTACGCAAAATAGTCATAATACAGCAACCAAAAAGTGACCTGTTGCTGATCGTGCAATGCTCTGGAGAAGAAGATATCTGCTGTCTGTATTAGCCAATCGGCCTCAAAATTTCCCAATGGAACCTGCTCATTTCTTTGCTTGTTAAGCACTTAAAAACAGATGAATATATTCAATGTTAATCACAAAGAAATTGAGATTGAGGGTAAACATGGGCATATCGTGAAAGTGTAATTCTCTCATTCAGCCATTGAGAGGACACAGCACATCGTTGAATTCCAATTCTTGCTGCCATTACTTGCCAACCAATAGCCTATAGAAGAGACAATGCAGCAATGTTTTCGTCATATGCGAGATAGAATTAAAAATCACATACCAATGGATGCTTCTTATTCAGATATTTCAAAATCACCTGATATTGGCTATCACGAGCATTAGGAGGGATGGTAACACAAGGAAAATCTTCTAATACTCGTATGCCAGACTTCATCAGCAGGACATTAGGGGACTCAATAACAGCAATCACAGGTCCATGATGCCATTGTCTGCAAACCCAATACACAAAGTAAATAAAAAATCACGTCGACTATAAATTAATAAAAAAACTGTGGACGGTTGAATTTTGTAACGCTAAGACATAGACCCATAGTTTGGCGAAGAGAAAGACAAGATCAGAAAATAAAATATAATAATTTAATACAATTTGAATTAAAATGAGCCACATTGGAGGTTAAAGTTCTTCATGACTAACATTTGAACCCTGTAGTTTGCCTCGTAACTAGATCTCGTGTCGGATGATTTTGCATGGAACGCAAACTAATATTCAAGTTGTGGACAAGTTCAATTTACTTTCATTGTTCTTGTAACTAGTGGCACTCCGTCCTTTAACTTAGTCATAGGTCAACTGTTTGATGCAACGGAATTAACTTGAACCAAGAAAAACTTAAAAAATGACCTATTTGATGCAACAGAATTAACTTGATCCAAAAAAGCTTTAAAACATGTCAATTCTGAGAAAACCTGCGAAATTTAGAAAAACAAGAATTCATTGATTCTCCATTGAATGCCAAATAATTGATTCTGACGGACGAATTTATTGATCCGAAGAATACGAAAGTTGAATTGAAGAATTAGGGGAAAAAATCAGTTTATTTTTCAAAAAGCAACCAACGAATGATGAAGCTCTAGTTACTGCGTCTATAGAAAACAAGAAATGCTATTCTATATACTAACAAGGAAAATTGATTTGATCTTCCCTACCTAAGACAATAACTAAAGGAACATTTAAAAAATAAAATAAATTAAAAAATAAAGATAATAAAAACACATGGGCCGTTTACATCACTTTTACAGTAGTAATGACATGCAAAATGATAAGATCTCATAAATTACTAATATTTTGCACCTATAGAACCCGATGCATGACCTCTATTTAATCACTGAAGGTCATAGTCTCAGGCTTTTCTTCTGGTACATATAGTAGAATATACAATGTCCGTGTTTTCTGCTAGCCAGTCAAAAATTAAATGCAAATGTAAGTGATGTTTTCCAACTCCACAGGGGTGTCTACTCAATCAGTATGTATACCTGGTGTGCCTCTTCTATATATTATTTCATGCATTCTTTTATTTTCATAAGCGCTATTTAATAGGTACTTTCCCATACCTTTTTTTCAAGAAAGCTTTCTTGCATATCTGTATATTTTATATTTGGGTAGCTCTTTTTCTGTTCTTCAATTGTCACGAATGAAGGAATAGAAAAAATTCTAAGATAAATAACAAACAATAGCAAACCCATTTTTGAATCTGACTGAAAGAGAAAATGTTGAAGGAGTTGTAGAAGGTGTTCATCTTGTTAAATATTTCCACTCTTCCTTTCCATATATGTTGTCCATCTTTTCTTCTTGGTAACCTCAAACTAATTTCGTTCGACTGAACAATGAGAAAGTGTAGGGTATTTCTGAATCTTTCTGTCTATCCCTCGTTTCTTGCAGTCAAGAGAAGTTCCTTCGATACTTTTAGTTAAGAAAGTTTCAAAAACATAAATATTTTACTAGGTGCAGATGCATATAAAGTCTCCTTAAAGATGAAAGTTGTGCAGGTGTGTTATTAGTAAGGAGCTAATGATATGGCCAACTGTGGAAGTATGTAAGGAATTGACAACTCAAGTATGGCAAATTAAAGATAGGAAGGTGACTAGAAAACCTGAATTCAATTATTGTCCTCTGTAAGTTCCTTTGAGCATCCTTGACATGACCAACGTAATCGACCTTGAGAACAAAGTATGTGTTACAAACAAATAAAGATAAAACTTACCCAGCTAAAAAAACAATGATTTATTAAGACAAAGCAAGTATACTTTGAAATTAATTCCTTCTCTTGGGGGTTGAATGGATATTGCTTGGCAAGCATCACGGAATTGTCTTTCAAGTATTTGAGGTGATAATTCCTTATTTTGGAAAGGACTAACAACCACAACAAATATTTGGCTAGATGCAGGAAAATATCCAATGTACATGGCTCGTCCATCAGAGATGCTGAAAAAAATTAAAACATTAGTATTTTAAAAAAAAGGTGAATGTAATACTATTCTGCATTACAACAATTAAAACCGTATGCCAAACCTAGGAATACATGTTAATCCTTGAGCCTCTTCTGAGTGAGATAATATTGAACAAATGGAACGAGAACCTATACTAAAGTCAATTGTTCTAATCTGGTATCTCTTAGTCATAATTATCAAGTCTATGCACAAAGTGTTCAATGGTACTTGTTAAATCCACACCTAGGCATGGATATGAGCCCTAAATGCAGTGAACCACAGTGTAGGAACCTTTTTTTGGCATCAAACCATGGTCCTTCAGTGAAACGCTAATAAGAGCAAAGTGCGTACAAGCAAGCTTTATCCAAAAAAAATTTGCAATTGTGTCTACTTCATGTGAATTACTGTTTGTGTTATAGTTGTCAAGTGACACATGAGTGCATGAATTTATCTTTTCTACTTCAGATTTAACATCTCCTCACACCTCGCCAGGCTTTGTGCACTTGATAACTATTGTTTGCTGTACCTATTTTTCATCTGTTTGGGGGCTGTTAGTTAGTTCCATAATTGTAATAAGATTCATTATGTTAATCAAAATACCCCAAACAGGATTAAACTGACTAGTTACATGATGAAAACACAATCAACAAACTCACTTTCTTTATAACAACTGGGTTGGTGTTTCTGACAATTTGACTAAGCTGGTGACTAGATAAGCTAGTAAGCACAAACAAAATTGAACTACTTGGACAGAAAGTACTACTTCTCTCTAGGAAAATATTTTTCACGCTTTCTCCCATGCTTCAGCGTGTGCATTACTTTCAGCTTTTTGCAGGGAAGAGAAGTTTGTGATCAGGTTAAAAGAATTTCCTAACCATTACACATGCTCACCAGAAAGCAGCAGCATGGGTGTTAGAGCAATATTAACTGTAACCAGAAACTATTGAACACCATTTCAAAGCTTTTAAATGAGGTAACAACTATTCATGTATTTCATGTCCCAATGAAACCAGGCTGGATTCTTTTTCTCAAATACCTAGCACCAAAATTATTACGGTGAGTGACAGCAAGAGTTGATGTAAGACATTTGCCTACACTAATATCATGTCATATGACTGCCTAATTTACAAGCTTATGCATGAGAGAAGAGAATTTAATGTATTTATGTATTGAACAAAAAAAATGAACTCAGTAAATGATGTTTTCTAAATCTTATAGAGATGTGAATTTTGTTTCCTTACATGAAACAGCAATCCTTGGTTCCAATTAGAGTCATCTCGAAAATTTGACACAATATATCTAGTGCTTGTTTGGGAGGGATTTTTGGAGGAAGAATTGATTTTGAACAATGATATGATGGGAAATTTGTGGTTGAAAAAGAAGAAAAAATTATTGATGTAATGAAAAATATTATTTTATTGAAGAATGTGTGGTTGAAAATGAGAAGTGATTTACTGTAGAATTTTGAAAATCCCTCCCAAACAGGGCCTAATCTTGGGCTTATTTAGTTCAATTAATAACACCTACAATAAGTATTTTTCCTCGGAGTTCTTCATCGCTCTTATTCTGTTTCTTCATAGAGGAATTCCTTAATGTACTTATGTTTGGTCTAACATATTAAACAATACAAAGCAGTGAAATTATTGACCGTATGGTCAAAGGTACTTATAAAGTATAATCAAATTATAAAATGCAATATTGTGTCATCGTTTTAAATAGTAATGAACATTCTAGCAAACCTCATTGATGATTATCAGTTTGTCTATCTAACCTTGGTTGAGTTGTTTAGGCTTACATATTCCAAAGAATTTCAAGCCTTTGTATTGAAGATATCATTACCTTTGATACAAGTAGAAATAGGAAAGTGAGTGTTCCAGATATGGGCATTCTGTTGTCGTCTTCATATGCAGTTCACTCAGACTCCAGCCATCTTGGACATTTCGTTTCTTCGCCGACTTATCAACTTTACAGACACAACCAATCTGGAGGATAGCATTAAAATCCAGTGGAATTTTCGTTTCATATATTCCCTGATCAAAGTTAAACATTGTCAAGTCATTATGCGTAAAAATTTGTATGGCCGAATGCAACAAAAACTAAAATTGCTGCAAGAGTTGTAAGCTGTCATCCATTTAAAGGACCTGTACAACAGTCCATCAAAATTCGTTTCACTTTAGACATTTTAAATCCGATAGCAACTGGAGCTTTTTCTACAAAAATCAGAGTTTCGAAGCTATAAAGATGTAAGCAGAAGCTATAATCAAGAACAATTCTTTGTGTTGCAGAAAGCTGAGACAAAATGAAGAATCACGACGATAACAAAAACAAACTAATCCTTCTTCCATGAATCATTTTTCTCCCCTTTGTTCAATGGATTTTGCTGTTTGTACAGGTAAAAACAGCCCGAAGAAGTGACCAAATGATGTTGAGGGAAAAGATTGGATGAAAAAATTGACTGTATGTTAAACTGACAAATGATAGAGTACCATATGGCATTATGTAATCGTGATGTACATATAGCATTGTCCTTGTTCAATTCATTGCTAGATCTACTAAAAGATTTGTTGAATTACTTGATTTAAAATCTTAAGTTGTTAGTAAGGGCCACATGTATATTATTTAAATATTGTTTTCAACATGCACTCTCACATGTATACGGGGTTCATGTTTCCTATCAAAACCTGACATGTGCACAATTTTTTGTTAAATGAATGGACCTGAACTTGTGACATTTGCTTACCACGTTAAACCACTTAATTTAAAAACTTAAGTTTAGAGAGGGCCACATGCATATCATTTAAAAATATTGTCTTCAACAAGATCAAAAACAGAAAGGTCCTTAGAAACCAACACAAGCTATGTCAGTAGCGGTCTGTAACCTGTTCTATTCGTGATGATAAGGAGGTCATAAATATGTCTGGGCATATCAGAAAGGTTGCTTGAAAGTAGAGGATAATCCCTTCCCTCTAATTGTTCATGATGCTAAAACGATGTATAAATTTTTGAAGTATTCAACGTAAGTTCTACTTTCCACTACTGATAATTAGATTCCATACCACAAGGAAACAAGTAGTGCCAGTGCAGAGGTGCTATCCTTGAAGCATATAGGGTATAGATCAGGTTAATGCACAGAAGTTGATTTCACATTTTCACGTTCCATCAGATTGCAAACGAGCAACAATAAACCGAACAAAGAATCCACTTAGCATTCTCATAGTACAATTTTTTGACTTCGGTATACAGGAAAGAATGACAAGTAAGGAAAGACTCTGGTGTTATTGACCCTTTCCCTATAATTATAAAGTGACTCCACCATGAGATGCATTTCGAGATCAACCTCTTTTAAATAGCATCGAATATCAAGGGAAAAAGATTTTATGAGATAAATGTTACTGAGTCATAGAGAGATATAACTGTTTGAAAAGTGGAAAAGTTTTAAGATAATGAAGACCTGCACTGCCTGAGTGTCTACAAGTTACCACTGTTCAAATCACTCAAAGAATGAAAGATTTTTGCAATAAAAAGTGAGTGGGGTATAATCACCTCAACTTCAGGATCTGCAAGGTGAGCTGCTAATTTCTTGCTTTCGGCCTTAAATTGGTCTTCATCAATTATAACCTTATAAAAAATACACGAAATAAAATAATTATGTTTGCACCTGAAAACGCTTGCCTCCCCCATGAACTGCCCAGAACTACTGGGTAACTTTTATTGCGATCCAATCATATACCTCAATCAGATTGTAGCTATGACGTCCATGGGGAAGAATCTTATTGACACGCCTTCCAGGAAATTCTTCCGTTACAGGAGCTTTAGAATTGAGGTAAAATACTCTGGGGACAAGTATGGGAATTTTACACATGTTTCCATTAATAACTGCCCAAGCAAAATAATGGCCATGCTGTGAACTGGGTACAAGCTGGATAATCTGGCACAACGAGAAGACAAGGCTAGACACTCATTTAGGGATATATACAGAGAACAGAGAAATCAAAATCTAAGAGGTAAAAGAAAATTGCTTTTAAACTGCTTGAGAACTTCATCACCTGCCAGTGGGAGCGCATAAGTGCTAAATCATGCCTCTCAAAATAGGAATTGACCCCAGTTTTTCCTTGAGGCTGTTTGTGATTGACAATGCTACTACGCTTGTCAGCAACACCATTCATCAGATTAAACGTGCTTGAGTTGTCCAACCTGCCAAAGTCATGTATGTCCTGTCAACACCAGTCAAACAAAGTGCACAGAGATGTTGATATAAGATGCTACTAATTAACAGTCCATTAAAGAGGAAAATAAAGATTTAGGGTATTGTTATTGGAGAAGTAAAGAAAGTAGATAAAGAAACCTGTATGCTTCTCGAGGATACAAGAGTACAAGACTCATGAAAAGGTTGGGGCCTCACTTATCTCTTGGATAAGTTTCATCTTTGGAGTTGGTTATCTAAAAGACCACTACAGTTCAGAAGGGAGTTGTCTGGGAAAGCTCAGAACGGGAGGGAATTAGTGATGAGAATAGTTGATCGGCTTTATTAGTTGATCAGGAATTGGCGATACCTCTAAAATAAAATAATGTACTGATTGTCTGGATGGTCATTGATTTTAACTCAGAACACCTTAATTTTCTCTAAACCCAATGATATAAATATAGAGAAACACGAAATGATGCAGAACTAATACACTCTGAAGGAAGCTGCAGCAATCGGACAACGACATCAAAAGTTGCAGTCAATAGAAAACATACCTTTGACGCTTCCTTTTCTCTCGAGTCTCTTTCCACTTTCTCTTCCTTAATTCAAGCCATCCTTGATAATCGACATTCCTGTCAATATTCTCTTTGATGAAAACATTTTGTAGTGGGTGCTTTGAGGCCATACATCCATTTCCACCAAAATCAATTTGTTCTGGACATTCTACTTGAAAACTTGTTTTGCTTCCACTGTTTTCATTGTTGATTCCATAGGCATGAACAATAGGTCGAGGCCTAACAAGAGAAGTTTTTCCATTGCTCCTGAAGTCTTCCAAGTCTTTGACATTATGCTCATCTATTAAGTGATTACTGGCATTGAGATCATTTTTGGCACTCAATGCATCATCTCTTTTCTCCACACTGAAGATATCAACCAATTTTCGCTGGCGAAATTTGTCCTCCTTTTCACGAACCCTTTTATGCAACCAATCGGGATGAACAACCCTTGGAACGGGATTTGCAACCTGATAAGTAAACAATTGGTATTAAAAAACAAAACAAGTACTATTTTATTAAGCAGCACAGAACAGTATCTCCACCTTTTGCATTGCAGCAGGAATAGTTATAATTTTCTGAATTGCTGAACTAAGCCGTTGTTTGTAGTATGACCAATCAATAATGGAGCGGATCCCAATGTCTGATGAAATTTTACACCACTTTTTCACATAGAACTTCATAATTTCTGAAAAAGCCAACACATATAAGCACTTCTTGTATGTTACAAATGCATGAAGAAATATATGCAGAAAACTTGTAGAGAATTTTACCGGCATTGGTTTCAAAAATGGCAACCGGAACAGCGCGCTCACTTACTGGGGTTCCCTGCTCAATGTTACATTTAATAACCTAAGAATCCAACCAACATCGGGTTGCACAACTCAAGAACCATATAATTAACTAATGCCTAGAGAGGAAGGTTGGCAACAATGAACAAATGACAATAGTTCATGTCCTAGGACATCTTCTGGCACATGCATCACTTCACTGGATATCTTCAATTAGATAAATAAAGCAAGAGAATATCCCTTAACATGTTGACTTCAACCTTTACAGAATGAACACTATTGTATTTATCTTCATATGATGGAGAAGCCGAATCTCAAACTATACAGGAGGCAAAATTTTAAAAAGGGCCCGGCAATGCATAGACACGGACAAATTGGTCCAAAATGCTTATGCCCTTCCTGTAAAGTAGTGGCCACTCAAGTTCGTAAGCCATTCAAACCAGCACTAATCAATTTGTATAGAATGTAATATGTAAAGACCGTCTCTGCTATGCATTTTTAAAAAATAGGCCAAACTACTGTGATCTTTTTCTATTTTATTGTTTTGATATAATGGTGTCATTGTCATGTTTTCCAATATAATATTCGAAGGAGCTAATCTGATGATCATCTCCCTTTTATTTTACCTCAAGGACATGAGTAACAGATGTGGCACTAACAGAAGCATAACTTCCCATCCATACACTGGTTAAGTTACAGTCTGTATACGTTCTATAATCTAATCATTTTTTTCTCTTCATACTTACAATCAGAAATAGCATACAAAATTACAAAATCACAGTTGTTTCCTATAATTATGTAGAAAGGGTAATTGAACAATAAATTAATATATCAAATGGAGACTTCGACATCTTATTGGGCAGCATCCAGTCGACTGCTCAAAGGTTGCTTCCTGGTGACACTTTCAGTTATATAAAACTCAGTCAAACAAAAGTAATCATAAAACAGAAGACCTCTTAATGTTTATTCTAGCACGGGCCGTCATTTAATACTCCACTTTACTTCATGACAGAAATAGATAAATCTAGCACTAACTAAACACAAGAGTTGCATACCTTGGGTTCACATGCAACTACATACTGGCAGTGCAATCCTTTGTCTTTTACCATTGCATCCCCGAGGAAATCAGCAAGACGCTTTGCTGTGGTCACTGCACATGACTTTTGTTCACCATAGTCTGCTAAGGACTTGCTCATTGTGCTTGATTCAGATATGAAATCAAGCAACTCACTATCCGCTACATCTTTCCCTTGATTCTGAAATTATAATCAATCCGTGTCACTGATTATTATAATGAGCTCTAATGCAATTATGACGTGCTTTGCTGAGACAAAGGAAGAATAAATTTTAAGTTGTGCAACTATGGCCAATTTTGGAAATATATATATAACTCGAGCTAAATTGAACGTCACTTTTCCCTCTCTTCCAGAAAATGTGAAATATTTACTAAGCTTGTGGCATTTTTATACACTAACAGTTTGCACAGAAAGTCTAAAAAAATTAAGGCAACTCGTGTTTTTTCTATATTGATGGTAAGTATGAGAGTATTTTGACAAAGAGAACCAATATCTATTGCTGCAAGACTTTTTATCCTGTTTCAATTAGGGAACATTACAACTTATGATAAGACTCTTATAACGTACATCAAGAAGATCAAGCCAACGGTTTGCAACAGAAGCAACGGCAGAATAGCATTCTTCTAAAGTTGACCCATGCAGAAACTTATCAAATAGCTCAGCCTGCAAAATGACATTCCAAGTTACTCATGAAGCAAAGCTACAAATCATTTATTAAAACTGAGGAAGTACATGTTACCTGCAGTATATGATAGCATCTATCTAAAATTTGGGAGAAAAAAATTTGTATAGCAAAATAATACAAATTTAAGGGGTTTTTGCCAATGTAATTCTTTCCTGATGCTTATTGGATAAGTTAAAGTAAACGGACAAAATAATAGAACAGCTAAAGGAGTAAAGTTCAAAGGAACAAGAATATAGCTGTATGCAAACTCAAGTAGGACATATTTAAGCTAAACCACTAAATGCTCAAAAAGTAGCAAACGGATCCCATGATTTTGTACCTCAGTTCTAGCCTCTAGGTATATTCTAGAATTCATATATTATTAAGAGACACCAGAGTATTAATAGCCTTGTAAAGATGCTTCTGTAAATTTCTATTTAAGAATTCAAAGGAAAGGCGTAGACATGTCCACCGGTTATATATAGTGGTAATATGTAATCGAAAAAATAAATAGCACTTGGCGCACATTAATATTTTTTCTCGTATGGCTATGTTTTAACTTTCTGTGTGCTGGATATACCAACAATTTGAAGCATACTAAATCATTTATTTATACACTTTGTTAAGCCAATTGATCTAAACTTTTAGAGAGGGCCACGTGTATCTTATCTTTAACATGCTCCTTTGTGTGCAGATGAGATTCACTCTCTCTTATCAAAGCCTGAATGTGGACAATTTCACTAAATGGGTGGAAGCGAGACTTCAATCCAAGACCTTTGACAACTCGGGAACCATCTTGTTTTGTGCAATTGAACATCTTTGGCATTTCTCTTCCATTTCTTAATCACCACATCAAGCGTCACTAGCCTATGTTGACATTCTTGCACAATAATTTATTCACATTCCAAAAAAATCTATTTGACTAGACCTTTCCATTTCTATAAGCACGAGAAAGAAAAATGAATATCATGGTCATTTCATTATATTTTTCCAACTTCTTCTTACACCTCAATTATTTGGGGAAAAGTGTTTTATGCAAATCTCTTGTTCTTTCAAGTGACTAAATGTTCAACTTCGACAAATGCTAGAAAGAGTCATCATGGTAAGGGCCACTATGCCACTATAATTTAGGTTTTGAGGTAGAAATGGATGAATGTTGAGTAAATCAACCATTAGCTCTCAAGATGTGTGATGTGCCACTATAATTTAGGTTTTGAGGTAGAAATGGATGAATGTTGAGTAAATCAACCATTAGCTCTCAAGATATGTGATGTGAGGAAAAAAGAAACATCTATCACTTAAAGAAAACTACCGCATGGACACAGATAAAATATATACCTGGAAAACTTTGATGAGCTTTAGCTCACCTCTACGCTTGATCTCAAAACCCTTCAGCTCTGCTAGGGTACCATCATCATTAAAAACTGCATAACGCTTCTTAATCAGGATTCCTTCCTCCTTGGAAGCAGGAAGAATCATAGCCTAGACACGAATAATATTCAAAACCCAGTTTAAAATGCCCAGTAAATCATAGATAATGGTCAACTAATAATTTAATTGTCATCTCGTGAGTGAAGTCTAGATGAATCACCTTATAGGGTCCATCCACCTCGAATTCAATTGAGCATTCACTATGTGTCGCATAGGTCATATTGACCGGATCTTTTAGCGTCTAAAGGAATAGCAATGAGCAATTAGCATATAATTTGCAAGAATTGTTCAGTAGTATGTTTAAAGACAAAACAACGGAGTTTTATTGCGTACCTGGTACTGATCATTAGTATTGTTTATAGCCACATCTACATTAAGCATAACACAAGGATATGATATCGTCAACTTCTTCTTTGGGTCTCTGATACACATGATCCACAAAAGAGTTAGCACCTAAACGAAAAGAACATTGAAAGAAGATTGGTATGCTTACAACTTTTAGTGAATGCAAACAGGTTTTGTAACCATTCCCAAATGATCTTGAATTAATGAAATTTTGCATACATTGAAGGATCAAGTAACTTGTGATAAAAAGATTCAAAAGCAACCATGTGAATCTACAAGTAAATCATACTTCGTCTTGAAAGTGAAGTTCTCTGGGAATGACCCCGGTAGGGCGCACCAGATACCATCGGTGTCTAATTCAAGTGGCCTTCCAATTCTTTCAACCAATAAGCGAGCGTTCTGGATAATTTTTGCTCCAGTGTACGTAACAACTCCTGCCATTTCCATTGAGTACCATCTTGCACCCCTGGAAAATTGAAATTTGACAAAACATATCAATAGTTCAATAACGATTCTTAAGACTGATGGGAAACTAAACCATATTGGGGTCGTGAAATATACTTGCGCATGACATATCCATAGAAGGAGTTGAGAATACACTTGTGTGCTAGTTGCAATGAATCATAGAGCACCACCATGTCCTGGAAAAGTATGGTAATTGATGATACCTGAGATCATTTCTATTTCAATGACAAGTTGATAGTATTAAATATGAGGGAAAGAGATACTTGAGCTTCCTGGATTTTGATAGAATTTCCACTAGACTTTGCTTCAGACAACTTTCCCTTCCAAACTTTGTTGAGCCCTTTGTATTCGTACCTTCTATCTCGAAAACTTTTTGCCAAAAGAAAAGAGAGAATGATTTTGAATAAGACAACATAAGTTCGTCAACATTAAATATTGACAAATAAAAATGTGCATCTTCCTTTTCAATAACAAGCTAGAAATTGTTGATCAAAACTGTCAAATAGAACAATTACTTAAATCCAAGATGTTTACCTGCGAACAGTATCAATATAGAATGAGTTTTCACGCATACAGATCCCTGCCTCTCGAAGTTCAGTAACTGGTTTGTTAAGTACTCTTTTATATGCCTGCAAAATGAAAGAAAACACTACTGTAAGAACTGTCAAATGCATGTATTATTATTTGAACTAAACACGGCAGGTCAGAAACTACCTTTTGGCAATATTTCTTTAGACGCTCTTTGAGCTTCATCTGTTGTTCTGCTTTAGGTAGGTCAAGGAAAGATTTCGCAAGTTGCCCAGTTACGCTATCGACAAGCTCAGACTCAAGTTGCCTCTTTAGATGATGGTAATCACTGATAAGATAATCAAGGAGGACAAACATAAGTATGAATGAGCAACAGTCACATGTTACAAAAAATAGAGAAAAGGAATGTAGACCTTCTCTTTGCCATGTATGTCTCTCCACGCCAAACCCATTCAAGCTTCCTTAGGCAATTTTTTCCTGGACGATTGAAGTCACATGCAGTACATACTTCATCTGTAACTATCGATGGTGGCTGCAGATCATGATAAGAATAAACTCAAGTTTATTGAGAAAGAAGTCTAGGAATCTGTCTTGACTGATAACTATAATTTCTTGTAGTGGCTTAATTGGAAAAATGGCAACCAAAACAAACAAGTGATACCCAAAAACAAGTTCATATTTGCCAAGAATGTGGCACAGGTATAAAGGAAGAAAAGAGAAATGGACCAAAAAAAAAACTATATTGCTTTCTTTTTCCATGTAAAAATACAAAGTCTAGGTTATTAGTTTTATCAGTCTTGATTAAAAGGTTAGAAGGCGAGACTAAGTACAGTAGTTACATGGCAATACATTTCAAGCATAGTGTACCTAAGTTTAATTCAGAGATACAAAAGCAGAGGCATTATCCTTTACTACAAACAGGAAGAATATTTTTAGACGAAGAAAAATCAAAACCTGGAAGCTTATAATGAATGCTCATTTAGAACTTACATGTAGACATTTCACTTAAAGTGTAGTTTAGTTCTCTTTACTTTCTAACTACAATAGTTAATCATAATAAGAAAATAAAAAATGCAACAAAGTTCATTACTTCAACGGGTTTTGGTTATTTGTATAGTGCATGTAACAAACAGAAATTTCTCCTTGTTTAATTTAGCCCATTTGAGCCACATTTTGGGAGAAAAAATGCATTTTTGAATAGTTATTTTTGGAGAATGTGTGGTTAAAAATTAAGATAAAGTTTTCGATTTATGTGTAATATTATTTTATTGGAGAATATGTGGTTGAAAATGAGTTTTTGAAAAAATGAATTTTCAAAAAAATGGGGCTCAAACAAGGGGTTAATTGCTCAATTTGCTATTGGCCATTCCTTTGCTAGAATTGAACAGGTATAACAGTGCAGTAGCAGCAAAAGGATCAGTTTAGACAATAGTCAATCATGCATCAGTAGACAATGCCCACATTTGTCTTCTCCTTTCAGTAGATGACACAAAATTTGCAAGAGTGTGAAACTTAATAGAAAGGATGTTCTAGATAAAGTCACCTCAGTTGCTTACCTGTAGCCTGTTTGTCAATATGATGTTTGGATACATTGCAGCAACATCAAGATGGTATATGAGAGGGAATTCTTCACGTATAGGTTCACCTTTCAACCTCATAAGCTGCAAGTTGAAGGGCAGAGTTAAAGAAAGATTGCAGGTGATTTTGCATATCTCACTGGATAATTTATGGATGCAATTTGGTGTGCCTATATTATTTGTACGATTGTGTCTCGTGTAAAAAAAAACCCAAACACGCACACATGACATTGAGCTAAAAACCAAACTCCAGTAATAATAGTTTTATTGTTGAAGCCAAAATTTAAAATGAATACATGTGACCCCTCTCTAACAAATTAAGCTTTTAGATGAGATGGTGAATATGATAGCATAGCCCAAAAGGCGCAAACAAGCAATCAATCTGTCTAAGAGCATGTTAGATAATTGTTTATAAACAGTTTAAATTGTAAATACATAGATATGAATGGTGGAGTGGTAGTACTTGTGAATTCTTCGAAATGTGTAGCTAAAAAATGGATTGACTCGTAAACATTTTTAGCCTCAAGCATGCTAGGCATCTAAGATTGTTCTTCTCTAATGAGCCACTATAATAAGGTTAACCTTTTAAGATGGACTTTCAAGACTATTTATAATATAGAATTGACATTCATCATATCATTCATGATAACAAATAAAACGAGGTGGTTAATATTAGAGTGAAAGAAAATTAAACTTAAAGAGGAAACTGTGCAAAGGATTTCCAGATTAGTATATTTTCCACTTATTTATAGGAAAAAGAAACCAGGCTTCAAAAACAGAAAGAACCAGCACCTTTTCCATGATAGCATTCTTCACTTCGTCATAATTTAAAACTGATTCCAAGTTCAACTTTCCCTCTACTCTAACAGCATATTGCAGGTCCCGGTCAAGGTTTTTGATCAGTTGCTGTAAAAATAAGCATTGCAACCATTAGTCAAATTAACACAAGAAAGGAAAGTCTTGCTGAAAGTTTATCCAGGCAAGTGTAACAAGGTATTCACAAGAAGCTGAAGATAAAGAGAATTACTCAAAAGTCGAAAGCAATTTGGCTGGTAAAGACAAAAAGAATAAATGTCACAAGGTGAATTATAATTTGTATTATAGAAATAGCTCTTAACATAGCAGAGTGGAAAATGAAAAACTTCACAACCACCCAAAGTTAAGTACAAGGAAGGGCTCTGTTGGCTTGAGTTGCTTTACTCTTTTCACCAATTTATATAGCAGGCTCCATACTCCAGCACAAATATAAGATTACAGGGCATGTGGCCGTAAATGATTAATGCGCCAAATACAGATAAAAAATATTGTTAAGGAACGGTGGAGTATGTTAGAGAGACTGGTGTTATTAAAAGCAGAGAGGTTACCAAGAGTACAAGAAAGAAATAAAAGATGTCTAATTAGGAGTTTTGGTTTTTAAATGAATTTGTGAATTCAAATCTTTTGTTTACAGGACATATGAAATTTTAGTATGCTAAGGAATCCCCACGTTCCATCACTCAGGATAAGAAATGAATAATATTCTTTTATAATCCTAATAAATAGCCATGTAGCTTGCCCTTGTCACGAATTATACACCAGAGATGTATTGGAAAATAATGTCATTTCCAATCTCCAAAATATTTCATTGCATTTTCAATTGGATACTTTTCTACCAAAATGAAGTTCAACTGATGATAACTGTAAATGGAAAGGAGACAAGATAGCTACCCCATAAGCGGATGGATCAAGTTTAAAACTAGTTGGAAGATCAGATCTAAAAACACCACTTTCGAGACATTCCACATGACCACCAATGTATGTCTCACTCTCGAGGAGTTGACTGTTGTAGAACTTCTCTGGATCAGATTGGTGCTTGTTAGGACAGATAACATTTGCTTTATACGCCTGCAAGCATTATGAAACCGAACTTGAATATGGCTTCACTTTACATAAGAAAGAAAAGAGGTCAGGGGGGTCGACGGGGTAAATCTTTTCATTTCTTCCTTTTTGAGTGTGAGTGTGTGTGGGGTGGGGGGAAGAGGAGGTGAGAAGGTGGGAGTACATAGAGATAAAGAGGCCAAAAGCAATAATTCAGGGTACTTAAACCAGTACATGAGAAGGAAAAATTAAATAATCATAAATTTATCAAAGCAAGGAAAAAAAGACGTGGGAACTTAAATTTTTTACAATGCAGTTAAAAGGTTTTAACACGGGCTTAAAGTACATAAGGCTTTAGGTACCCACCTGGACCATAAGAAGCATTTCACAGAGAGTCCCACTTCCCTTTCGTAAAACCTCATCTGGTGGCATCGGAATTATGGTAGCAAGCGAGAAAATGAAGGGGTGTACATAAGTCATATACAAGTAATAAGTTGCGACAGCATCCGAAACAGAATAGGATGCCATCATCTGCTCGGTCAAATCAAAAGGGAAAAAAATTGAGTTAATGACAGGCAACTCACAAAAGACAATTCTCAAAAGTATGGGGATCAAGTTTGAAAGCCTGTTAGCTCCAAAAAAAGCTTTAGATTTTAGAGAGGGCCATATACATATTGTTTATATTATATTTCAACATATCCCCCCATGTGTAGACAGAATTGATTTTTAATTTTTCATCAAAACCTAACATGTGCACGATTTTATTAAATGGGTGGAGACGAGACTTGGATTTGCTCTAATACCATGTTGAACCACTTGATCTAAAAGTTTAAGCTTTTTGATAGGACCACATATATATCATTTAAATTTTGTCTTCGATGCCTGCTTTAGACGTGCAAGCAATCCCATCACAAGGCAGTTTGGAAAGCACGAGCTTTTATTTGACTAGTGTTAGTTAATGATCTGCTTCTAAGGAAGGGGCATCATAAACCTTCCTCCTCCTTTGACACTCCAAACATAAGAATCTTATATAAGATAGAACAGCTTCAACTTGTATGGCGCTTATTTAATTTAAAATACACTTCATTCTTCTGTCTGTAACTTGCATTTAAAAACTAAATAGTAAGATTGATAAAAATAATCCATTCCAAACAGCCTAGCCCTCAAACCTATCAATTCTTAATATAACATGAATAATTGAAAAATAGATGCTGGCTGTCTATATGAGATCTGATCCACCACATCATCCTCCTCCACCAAAAAAAATAAAAAAGATAGGTTTCAGACTTTTTGTCATTATAATATTTTCGAGATAACTAGTCTCTCAAACTACACTTTTCATTAATGCAATTATTTACCAAAATTTATAAGTCTAAGATATCATACCTGGGGCCTTTCCATTGCAAAACGAACCATATCCTCAGGATTGACCTCCAGTGGATCATAACCCAACTTCGCCTTTGTAACAGCCTGAAATGTCAAAATAAACGAAAGTAAATGTACTGTGGAAGAACAAGAAGATGGGAAGTGGAAATATTATATTGAACTGGGCTTGTTAAAACTTGTAGTAGACCAATGAAGATGACAACATAGGAATCGAAATCATATTGTATTTAGACATTCTGAACCAAATTCAAACTAAATGAAGCCATAAACACATAAATTCAACCCGAATCCACAGGATGCTTAACATATGTAACTGTCCCTATTTATTTACTACATGTAAATAAGTTGATTTTCACTAAATCAAATTAAGAGCTTGTTTTGGAGGGATTTTAATCCAATTAAAATTGAAAATATAGCCGTTATTAGGTCCACTCGTCTAATAAAAGTCAACAATAACGGCTATATTTTCAATTTTAATTCGATTTTAATCCCTTCCAAACAAGCTCTAATATGAATCCCAAACTGATTCATTCATAATTTGATTTTCAAATGAATTTGAATTGAAATCTTAAACTTCAATTGGAGTTGAACTGGATCTGGTGCGACTGGTCCATTTAATAGTTTTAATATCAAATGATGAGCAGAGCTTAACTTTTTGAACAAAAGGATTTTTGGGAAGTTGATATAGAAAAGTTCCTGCCACCAGAAAATACAAAATCCAGCAATATCACATGTAAATTCTTGATATCATAAATAAATAAATGAAAAGCATCATCCCGAAACTGACCTTTTATTAACCCAGTGGCCGTTTTCATAAGGTCAGACCCACCCCTGGTGTCTCACTCTCATTGTGTATGCCTTTCTTGTGTTCTTTTCATTATGGTTAAGAATTAAGTTACAGCTTTCATTTTTTGAAGAATTTATAAACAATTCAATTTATAATTATAAAGAAATGAGTGGTGGATAAGTGGGTAGCACTTCTGAATCCATTAGAATGTATGATTGAAAATTAAGTTTGACGAAAATATAAATGATTTATAAATTTGCCAAATGGAGGCTAAATAATGAATGAAGATTTGAGTTTTATATTTCTAATCTCCATTGTTCACGTAATTATTACCCAGGAATTGCTTAGATAATAAAACAATTCATTAAGTCGTATGCAGGAGAGCTGCTGTTAAAATACTCTCAAACCAACAGGGTGAGAACCAAACTTTTTTCTCCAACATCTTCAGTACTAGATAGTTGTTCTCAGGGAAAAAAATCAATTTGAAAGATTGAAAAGTTAACAATTCAGTCGTTAATATAGATTTCTGTGGGATATACTTCAATTGAGGCAGCTCTAAGTTAATGTTCTTCATGTTTTGAACCAGGAGCAGTCCATATCCCCTATATCCTCCTGAAATATGATGCTATTATGTGTTCAAACTTGCAGGAAGAGCAAAGGACTTAGTTACATTATTAGATCTGCATGTTTCAACAAGGACAAGTTCATATAATGGCTGTCAATGCAATTAAGTTCTCCCTTCTTTTCTTTCATCAACGGCTGGTGCAACGGCTTTCTGAAGTAATATTTCCATATGTTCTACATAATCCTCAGGGTACAGAAATCCAGCCAGATTAGATAATGATCAATAAATCAGTTGGTAAAGAGGTACAGGCATGTAAAATGGTGAATAAGCTTCTTTGGTGAACTGACTTCATTGGGATGAGAAATCCATTTTTGTCAGTTGTATTTTGAACAGAACAATGTTAGGTTGATGAATTGAATTGTAAATGGACGAGATTTTCAGTACATTTAGATTTAAAATTAAAGCAATTTCAAGAATATAACTAGAATTATCACTGAATATAGAAGTATATTCATATCAACAACAACAAACTAAGACTTTTCCCAGGAAGAAGTATTTCCGTATCCACAAACAGAACACATCATCAAGAGTTACAAACTCAACAAGCACATATCTAGTGGCGATGGAAAATAGAGGGTAAAACTTTGGGCAGTTTGTAGTGTGTGGGTGTGGATGGTGGGGAGGTGGAGGAGTAATACAATGAAGTATGCATGATGAGAGAAAACCTGCAAGCAAAAGTTCAAGCTAAAGATTGTACCTTTAAGCCTTGACTGCCTTGAGGGAGATAACTATCACGTTTGACCCATGCAAAACAATCCAAATGGCAAGCAAATTTGGCACGACATTCTCCTTGATTCTTGTCGCATTGAAATCCAAGTTCCTGCCATTCAAATTCAAAACGAATATATGAACAGAATATCAAAGAAAGAGATAGCAAATACGTCCTGCATGGATGTCATTCAGATACAAGCAAGTGCAACTGCAAGGGCAATCCAAATTCAAACTTTGATTTACAGCTTAAATTTTTCAGTAAGACTTGAGACTCTAGACAAATCGGTGAAAAATGGGGCGTCATTTTAGCAAGTGATTATGGAAGTGAATTAAGGTTATGCAACCTCCAAAAGTTCCACAGGATAAAAGCTTAAAACTCTTAATATTTTACCGATTAAATGTAAAGAAAGAAATTCAAGATCTCAAGTACCACCATTAACAATCTGATGAAGAGAAAGAAACATGTGCATAATAATTTGTAGCAATTGATTTTTAGTTATTAACGAAGCAGAGACTTGTGTCTCCAGAGAATATTAATAAAATGCAACTTCACAGATTGCATGTGTTCGCAACGACGGGGCCACATAATTGAATCGCTAAAAATTGGACAGGAATGACCTAGGATTTATTTATGTTAGTCACCAAAATAAATGTGTGAACCTAATACAGCTAGCAATGGTAAGTTACGTACATCGTTCATTCTGAGACCATGATGAGCTGCTCTGTTCTCTAGGAATGGCCAGTCGAAAAAGTCACCGTTGTATGTGACATAGATACCAGGCTTTACCTCTTGCATATGGGAAAACCACAATCTAAGAAGCTCTTCCTGTTACAAAAATAGAAAAAGTAGAACAATATAGATTTTTTTTAGAAAAATTAAAATAAAATCTATTAAATACAAACTATCATCACCTCATTTTTCACATTTGTAACTTTAAAACACCCTTCAAATTCTGGTTTTGGAGTGTACTCTAAATCCTCTATGTCTTCGCCGACGCACTGTCATGATTTAGAAATGTTCAATTGTCAATTATATGTGAGTAGAAATTGATAGGACATTCATATTACAATTTCGGAGGAGTCATTACACAGTTCTTAAATAAAAAGCTTCTACTAACGAATTATAAAATGTGCTAGCGCTATGATAAATCATCAGTTGTGAGTAAGCTCTCCAATGAAATGAATTAATTCTCAAAAACAAAATCAACACCTAAAGAATTTGCAATTATCAGAAACATGTTTTTAATCATTAAGGGGAAAAAAACTCAGAAAACAAAACAATAAGGTCCTATTGAGTTCAGTTTCAGCTGATTTAATCAGGAATTAATAGAAATCACCTCTAAAATCAAGAATGATGCTCAATTAGTACAATTAAACCTGATTTTTCATAGAGTTCAAGAATAATTCATTGGCTAAATGAATTGGCCTAATGCACTCCAGAAAAAAGCAGACCTTCGTTTCAGATGTAAGAAAATATCAAAAAACTTCCAAGAAGAGAATTGCATCGAAATGAGCCGATGCCAAAAATAATTATACGCAAAATGTCATATTTAAAGCTTGTAAATAAACAAATATAGAAAATTAACTCTGTTCTCGATACCTCTCTATTAATGATGAGGTATCCTTGACCATCAACCATGTATGATATCATCATTACTGAATCATATTCAGCATCTGGAAATTTTAAAGGAAGCTTTGTGGTCTCAATATCAAAGGCACAAACATGAACTTCTGCTCGTTGCAACAGATCTGCTCTTCTTTCTAGTGTAACCCCAGCACTGGATACACTGACATCATACCACTGCCCACATCTTACATCTGAAGTTGTTGAATTTCAGAAATGAGAGATAAATTAAATTATTAGTCTAGGACTTCGGGTACAGAATAATGGAAGAAATTCCAGAATCAATGTATTGGCAAAGAACTCACCATTGTCAATGGCAAAGCGAACATGGTAAGGTACATCATACTCACGAAGATCATTAATACAGTCTAGAAAGTCTTGAGGTCGTTGTTTTCTGCAAGCCCAGAATATTGGTATAACGCGAATGTAAGATAAATGGCTTATCAAAAAAAGCGAATGTAAGATAAATGGTCAAGAACGTTGATTGAAAAAAGGAAATGGAGAACAGGTTAAAATATGAACTATTAATGAAGACAAAGGGTAAAAAACATACCTTTTTTCAGTCAATATGGACTCATATGCTTCTTCAGCGTCAAACTTCGCTAGATTTCTTTCAACAATATGAATCAGATCATTCTTCACGTGCATCAATTGTTGAACGGTATCAAAAGATATCTTCAAATAAGACTTACGCAAGCCGCATAGGTGATTTTTCTGTGATAAATGTATACATACTTAGCATCAAGTATTTTTCTTGAAAATCTTGCAATGGTGGCTAGACCAAATTGAGGGCTAACAATGCGGTCATAAATAAGCAGCTTTAAAAATGGAAGAGTTATAATTATCCAATTCATTTGACAACACTATAGACATGAGAACAAAAATGCTAGGGATGAAAGGAGAAGGATGAGGATATAACTTTCATCTCTAAAATAATGCTAATTGGTTCAGCTTTTAAGTAAAACAAATATCGCTGGTCTGTGACTGAGTATTACATTTAAGCAGATTGGGTACACTAGTAGAACATGACTAATGGCAGACCCTATAATATTAGCCTCGGATCACAAAATCGGTGCTGAACTTTTCTTTATGCTAAATTGTGACTCAAACTGAACCTGACTAAGTTGTGATTGTAAATATTGGTCCAAATATTTAAAATAACCTAAATACTCTGTAACTTTTTTGTTATACTTCAGTACAACTCTCTGCAACTCCTCATGATTCTATGACATGATCCAGAAATGAGTATTGCTACTTTCAAGCGGAATCAACCATCTCACGTTCGACCTGTCTTTCATGGACATCATTTACATTTCGACAATTGACTTCGAGTGGAGAGGAATTATACCAGAGACCATGATATTTCCATGGGTGTAAGGTTCCTCTGATGGTGCTGTAAGAATATTTATGAAGGAGAGATAGTAGCTTATGACACTCGGGGACAAAAAAATTTGAGTCGTAACTGTGGACAGAATCGTGTAGGCAATTAAGAAGAGCCATCTTTGATCTGTTGCTTTATCATCCACGGACAAATATTTTTCTGTTCGCCACCGCAAATGAAATTACTCTTCTCGTTAAAAGAGTTTAATTTTATTACAAGTAAAGTAGAAGTTATATTTGAATGAAAACTTTCAATTATACACTTCAGTTAGCAACAATAAACCACCTTACTGTGAGGCTCAATGTTAATACGCAGCAAGTTAAGTACAAGTAGCATTTCAGGTGAACAGTTGTTAGCATAACATATTATCAGCAACCAACATTCAACACTTAACAGCTCAGATATGATAATTCTAGGAAAATTAAAAACTGCAAAACAAAAAAAAAAAAAAATTGATGTTAAAAGTTGGCGTTGCATTACAAGATCAAGATCCTCTTTTTCAACAATTTCAATGTCCGCAATTTGTCCTTCATATCGCCTTCTCAGATAAGCCTCAACGTCCATTTCCATTTTATCCTATAACAACATTAAACAAAACCCCTTTAACTGTTGCAGAAAATCCATCCCTGTGAAACGTATAAATTTCTTTACAAAATTCAAGTAATTATTCACTTACCTTGGTGGCTGCATAAAAATATGGCCGGAACTTATATTTGGTCTTAAATGTCGAACCATCCTTCAATTAAATCATTAAACAAAATAAATATCAAACTTCTATCAGGTCAAAGTATACTGCGTCGATTATCAATAATAAAAACTGAATCTTTAATCTTGTTTTACCTGACATACGAAATAAAGATCAACACAGCCGTACGTTTTACGCGTCTCCTGATCCTCCCAAGATGACTAAACACAAAACCACGTCAAAAAATCAAAATAGCTGGAATTCGAGCAAATTGAGTCAAAATGAGATGCGAATTGAGGAAATGAGAGCAGAACTTACAGAAGCTAAAGTGAGTAGCCACCCAAGGCGTTTATCTCCTTCATTGAAGAGATCGTAGCCGAGTTTCGACTCGAGCTGCTCCCCTGCGTTCAGAATCAGCTTCTGCGTCTTTGAAATCCGAGTGTCCCTCCGATCTCTCCTCCAATTATCAGCGCCGCTCATCTTGTCACGTTAGATTTGGATAATTACAAAGATGAATCGAGTGAATAAATGTGAAAAATATACAAGAATATTGAGAGAGCGTTTTTGGAGAAAGAGAGAGAAGGGTTTTGGGGGGTAAAGAGAGACTGGAGAAAGGCCGACGGAGAAGTTTTCCCGCGCTTTGTTAAGAGTGTTGCGAAAATTTCGTTGGAGGTCATCCATTTATTAGTTTAGCTCGTGTTGGTCATCTAAACTTTGATTTATTTCGATTTAAATGTTCGACTTATATTTTTGTTTCAATTTGATCATTATGCATGTAACCGTAATTAGGGATGGCAAAAAAGTTCGTTGGCTCTGGGGGCTCGGGTTCGGGTTCGGGTTCGGGTTCGGGTTCGGCCCGAAAAAAGCCCGGCCATCTATTAGTTTAGCTCGTGTTGGTCATCCAAACTTTGATTTATTTCAATTTAAATGTTTGGCTTATATTTTTGTTCCAATTTGATCACTATGTATGTAACCATGACTAGGGATGGCAAAAAAGCTCGTTGGTTCGGGAGGCTTGGGTTCGGCCCGAAAAAAGCCCCGAGCCAAGCCGACCCAGCCCGTAATTAATAAAAAAATTAAATTAATAAAAAAAATTAAAAAACTGCCTATAGGCAGATAAGATAGAAAAAATATAAAAAATAAATAAATAAGCGAGCTGGCTTGGACCGCTAAGGCTTGGGTCGAGCCTTATTTTTTTTTGCCTGGCTCAGCTCGGGTCTGGAAAAAGCTCGAGCAAAGCTCGAACTTTTTTTTTTCGGCTTGACTCGGCTTGTTGACATAGTTAACCATAACCAAAACTAATGGCTAATTGCACGTGAAATTCTAAACGAATGAGAGGCGATGGTTTAGATATTCAAATAAGCAATTTTGACAAGCAAGAGAAACTCATGAGTAAGTTGTGAATTGTAAATTAGCACTTTTACGAATTTCTTTCAAATTTTTTTTTTTTTTTATGTTAATCGTTTTAAAATTAAAAATGAAAATTAAGTGAATAAATTGAAACAGGAGCTAGGCGACCAACGTGCAATAATTATGCAAGTTGTGTTTCCTCAAACATTTGAATTGCGAAATTGGTTTGAGCTATGTCAACCATAGTAATCAAACAAGAGCCTATTATTTTGATATTCTATCTATGTGAAATTTGTCCTCAGCATACATCACGAGACGTAATAATCTTCCTCAGTTTCAAGTAGGGAGGGAAAAATGGACTAAGTTGTCCTTCATTTTTTTCTTTTGTCGTCAACTTATTATTGTTAGTGGTGGCAATCGAGCCACTCGTACTGTAGCGACCCACGAGCCACTCACATCACGAGACGTAATAATCTTCCTCAGTTTCTAGTAGGGAGGGAAAAATGGACTAAGTTGTCATTCATTTTTTTCTTTTATCGTCAACTTATTATTGTTAGTGGTGGCAATCGAGCAGCTCGTACTGTAGCAACCCACGAGCGTTGACGAGCCCGAGCACGAGCTGAGCGGACCGCTCGCTAGACGAGCCAAGCTCGGCTCGTTAAGGAGACGAGCGCTCATGGGCATCTGCCCACGAGCCGAGCTGGTGGGCTCGTAAAAAAACCATTAAAAAAAAGCTAAGAAAAGCTTAAAAAAAAAATAATTAACGAGCCACGAGCATGAGCTCGTGGGCCGAGCCGAGCCGAGCTCATGGCTCGTTTCACCACGAGCCAAGCCGAGCTCGTGGCTTTAAGGACCGAGCCAGTTCGACCAATTGACATCACTAATTATTGTTAGAGTTCTTGCATTGCGCATGGGAAAAACTAAGGACAATAAATTGGCATTCGGCTTGACATGTACTGTAATGGGCCAAGACGAGATTGAAAATTTCATATGTCTATTTCACTTCCACTGTTATTGAAGGAAAATTTTTCCTCTTCAAATAAAGAAGTAAAAAAAACATGCGAGTTGAGATGAGATGAGACTTGAAAATTGGCGAATTTGGACTTAGTCCAGTCTAACATAAAACATTGGATTTAGCTACCGCTCCATTTTGTCTAAAAAGTATTTTTTACTCTTCATTTTTAATAAAATAATATTACATGTAAGTTGATTTTTTTCTTTTTTAACCACATTTTTTTTTTTTCAAAAAATATATTAAAATGGAGCCCAAAGGTTTTAATCAAGCCCAAGGCCCAATGGCAATTTAGGAAATAAAAATCGCTCATCCGGTCCAAAACCCTAGCAATAAATACCACCTCAAGCAAAAAGCCTTTTGCATTCCACGAAGCTCACCTCTCTATCTACCAGTAATTTCTCTCTCTATAATTGTATGTACATGTATTTTCGCTGTTTATTTGAGTTTTGGAAGTAGTGGATTGATTTTTTTTTGTGCTCTAAAATTGGTCAGAAATGAAGGTTGTTGCAGCTTACTTGTTGGCCGTGTTGGGTGGCAACACCTGCCCTTCTACCGATGACCTGAAGAACATCCTCGGTTCAGGTTCAAATTTAGATAGACATACAAATCTTGCTACAAAATTTTTGTTGTCTTGCGTCATTTTGTTTATCCTATTATCGCTTATCATTTCTGTGAATGATTTTGGCACTGTGCGCCAGTAGTTTCCTAGCGAAAACAGTATCAGTTTATAGATTTAAAATAAGACTCTGGAATCTGAATTAAGCGTTTTCCTAATCAAATTTGCTTGTGTTTTGCAGTCCTAAAATTGGTATTAGAAAAAATTTCTTCGAATATATATTCGCCTAAATGGATTCTGGCTCACCTGATACATTTTCATTGAAGATGTTGGTAGAATTTGAGGAGCTATAACAATAAATAACAACAATGTAAATGTTGCGGTTATAATTTTTCGAGTTTCCTAGCGACTAGCACATAGGAAGATGAACATGGATCATGTAGGTTTAGGTCAACTCTGGTGGATTTATGCATGTTTGCTAATTTGGATGGGAGATTTTTTTTCCTTACGAATCTCATCGGGGATGATTGTAACCAGGATATAGTTTATCGGGGTTAAATCTCATAGTAAAGGCAAAACAAGAGTTTTTGATATGCCCTTTTGGGGTTCTAGACTAAAATGGCTATGTTCTTCTGGTATTTAGGTTTTACTGATTGCAGCTCACTAAGCTCATCATGTGTTTTTTTCACAATTTACTCGACTTCTACAATGTCAAGCATAAATAAACATGTTTTGGGGACATATTCTTTCAATACTTTGCTTATATAATCTGAAAATGTTAGTTATGATTGTATTTGAAAAATAATTCAAATTTAACAACGCCAAACTGGATTTTAATTTTATTTGCCCTTGTTCTGTCAGTCCTTGCTCTGCGTACTCAGAAACTCTCAAGTTTTCAATTTTCATTGCACTCAAGTTTTTGGTTCTGGAAATATCTAAATTCTCCCCGTATTTAGGTTTTACTGATTGCAACATACTAAACTTGGAACGATTTTCACAATTTTCTCAATTGAAACAATTTCAAGGAATAATTACGTTTCCGGGGACTTTTCTTTCAATACTTGTGTTTGGAAGAACTTATAATTTACTTATACTATCCAGTCCAAGTCAAACAATAATCTCAATTACACTTTCAAAACTACTAATTATTATGTACCAAAATTTCGTGGTCGCCACACTATTCCTAGAAAGTTGCTGATAATCTTTCCCGAACAAAGGCGTAATTTGAAAATGTTACTTATAATTGCCTTTGAAAAAAGAAAACTCAATTTTAATAATGTCAAGCTAGGTATTCATGTTATTTTGTGCTTTGTTCAGTCAATCTTGGCCTGTATGCTCAAAACAGTTCCAAGTTTTCAAATTTCATTGCACTCAAGTTTTTGGGATCATTGGTTCAAAAAAATCAGCTAGTGGTAACCCTAATTGTTTAACTTCTTTTGGTCAGTCGGAGCCGAGGCTGATGATGACAGGATTGAGTTGCTCTTGTCTCAATTGAAGGACAAAGATATCACTGAAGTGATCGCAGCAGGAAGAGAGAAGTTGGCTTCAGTTCCTGCTGGTGGTGGTGCAGTTGCTGTTGCTGCACCTGCTGCAGCAGGCGGTGGTGCTGCCCCAGCTGCTGCTGAAACAAAGAAAGAAGAGAAAGTTGAAGAGAAAGAGGAGTCCGATGATGTAAAATCCGCACTTAATTCTTTTTTGGTTGCAGGATCAATTTATTTGCTGAAGAGAAATGTTAAATCTATTCTCTGACTTCTGTTTCTATTTTTTGGTTGCAGGATATGGGTTTCAGTCTCTTCGACTAAAAACTGCGAAACAGGAGGAACCAATTCTTAGGAATTTATTGCCCTTTTAATGCATTTTAGAAAATTTCAGTCTGTCTTTGGTTTTGGCATTAGTTTTGCTTAGGAATCCTGAATTTTGTTTTGAATTGAACAAGGATGTGACAGATAATGGAATATAATGAGTTTGTCTATTCATAATGTTTTCTTAATTTTTGTGGTTGAATTTTAAAGTGCTTTATGTTGAAAAGATCATCTCTCTGTCTAAGCGGGTTTAGTTAAAAACATTTTTACTCTGTGTTTGGTTTTTGAGTTGAAACTTTTACATGTTATAAAAATGCGTCCATTTATATATTTTCTTTATCCATTCGTATTTTTCTCTATAATTGTTTTTGTTTCAATTTCTCGAATATGAAACCCACTTGATTTATTTTATCGACTTTTATACGAAGTCCATGTTTGAGTCATATTATAATTTTCATTCTTATTCTTCTGTTCATTTTTAATCACACATTCTTAAATAAAATAATATTTTTCATCATATCAATAACTTTTTTTTTTCTTTTTTTCAATCACGTATTTACCATTACAACACGTCTAATTAAATGTCTCATATTCTTTTCATTTAATTAACTTTAATTGGACTTATTTTATAATGACAATTAGATCGGTATTTTAGTATCATTGGTGTTAGATAATATTATTCTATTTTAAAAAGATAAGTTGGGTACTTTGTAAAAATCACAAAATAAATTAAAATTAGAGTTTTTCTTTTATTGATGTTTAATATAGTTTAGTTGAATTTTGTATTTTATAATGTAAATCTGCTATTATACTCTTAATTTTAATATCATATTGTATATAAAAGAAAATATCTGTAAAATTTAAAAGCGTAAAAATTTCGACACAATAACAAAGTTTTTATTTTAGACCTTTTCAATAATTTTTTATTGTTTTCGCCATCTTTTTTCAAATAAGATTTAGATGACTAAAATATCCAAATATTATATAAAAAACCAAGAGTCCGTTTGATTGCAAATGTGAAATTTGGGTAGAAAAAAATGTTTTACGGAGATTTGAATTGTTTAGAAAATATTTTACTAATAAAATAATATTTTCCATCGTATCAATAATTTTTCATTCTTTTTCAACTACATATTCTCCATCACATCACTTCAAAAAAAATGCATTCTCTCATTTTAATGTGTACTAAACGGGCTCTTAAATTAAATAGTTTATTTGAGCTTAATTTCAAGGTTGACAGTTGACTATTTAAAATAAAAGATATCTTATTTTGAGGAAGTTTCTTGAAAATGTTCAAAACTATTTTATTTATTTATTTTTTGTCTTTAATAACTATCTATTATAGGTGAGTTGATATTGATTTATTATTGGTGAATATTTACGTGAAGGTCCCTAATATTTGAACCTTTTGGTGCCATAGGTAATTTTGTGGTAGAAATTGTCACTTTAAGCCCCAGTTTGAAACAAATTAGGTTTCAACCATACATTCTTTATTGACATAATATTTTTCATCACATCAATAACTTTTCATTCTCTTTTAACAACACATTCTCCATCAATCTAATATTCTAAAATACATTCTTCCAAAATAATGTAGCTCAAATACACCCTAAATGTTGAATACACACGACACAACCGTCAAGTGATGGTCTCCTAGTGGATAAAAATGTCCACACCAATTTTATCTCATTTGAAATCAAAGGGGAAAAAAAAAACACATATCCAAATTATTTAACATCTGTTTGGTAGAGATTAAAATCTAGATTTTAATGTAAATTAAAGTTAACAATTAATTTTAATCACATATTTCATGGGATTCACAACTTTTCAATAGCACATTTCATCAATTTTTATCAAAATCTACTAAAAATTTAAATTTAATCCCCACTATAATTATGCTAGAATTAAGGACTCAGAACCTTGTTTAATACTATTCATCCCCACTGAAATTACAAACCAATGGTTAAAAAGTAAGTAAATTTTTCAACCACACATTTTTCAATAAAATAATATTACACTCATTCAAAAATTTTCTTTATTTTTTAACTACATATTCTCAATCAATCTATTATTTTAAAATATATTATTTACTTTTTAATGTGGCTCAAACATACCCTCAAATTTATTTTTAACTTTGTTTGATTGATTTTCTTTTCTAGATAGTGATGATATTAGTAAAATAAATTCATTATTAAAAAATGTAGAACAAGGATTATTATTATTTTTTTTTTTTGAATTATTGGTGACAGATGTGTCTTCCAAAATTCGAACTCAAAACCTCTATTTAAGTATTAAGTCTAAGATGTCTAAATCGTTACAAAAAAGCTTCGCTCACGAGCTCATGTTTGGTCCCTATTTTCTAATTTTTTTTTTCAAACTCATACTTAATTATATATTTCATGAAACTCATAACTTTTATTTAAAGCCCGTTTGGTAAAGATTAAAATCGGATTAAAATTGAAAAACTAGCCGTTATTGTTGACTTTTATTAGACGAGTGAGGTCCAATAACGGCTATATTTTCGATTTTAATTGGATTTTAATTGGTACCAAACGAGCTTACTTTTCACCAATATATTTCATAACTTTTATAAAAATTTACTAAAAAATTGATTCTTGGCAAAATCAAATATGGACAGAACCATCCTAAGTAGGAATGACATGCAATTCCCTATTTAGGGTGTGTTTGGTAGAGATTAAAATCGAATTAAAACAAAAAAATTAGTCGTTATTGTTGACTTTTATTAGACGAGTGAGACTCAATAACGACTATATTTTCAATTTTAATTGGATTTTAATCACTCCCAAATATGCTCTTATTAACTTTTAGAGTTTTTTAAAATACAATTTAATATTTAAGCAAACATTCAATAAGCGTATGATCAAGTCACGAGAGTTTGTCATATCCTATCCCTATTGATGAGTGCGATCAACTACGCACTTCGATTCACTATTTTGTTGATTGAGCACTTTGATTTACAAGCGAGGCGGGATCAAACTTGCTCGACACATTTTTGACAATTTAAAAAAGTTTCTTAGGAAAATTTCTTTTGACAATATGCAATATTTTTCAAGCTCCATTTTGTCCATAAAAAGGGGCATCAAATCTCATGCTTTTCATTTCCTTCCAAAAATTTCGACTCCTCACTCTTCTCTTCAAGAACCAATGAAAGCATTATTTACACCAACCGTAGCTCCAAATCCAATCACCCCAAAATCCCCAATTTCTTGCCACTTTTCCTCTTATCTCTTCCTCTCTAAATCCCCATTTCCCTCCCGAAATTCAACGGTTAAACACAGACAAATTGCAGTGAAACCCACAAAAACCAAAGCTTCATCAATGGCATCAACAAATCCAGATAACGTACAGACCGCAAATTCCTTTTCAGTGCTGTTTGTTTGCCTTGGCAACATTTGTAGAAGCCCAGCAGCTGAAGGCGTGTTCAGATACCTTGTCAAGGAAAGAAGCCTCGATTCCAAGTTCTACATCGACTCGGCTGGTACCATCAATTACCACGAGGTATACATGCTAATTAAATCCCAGTCCGCTGTTTTTTAGTGCTTAAATACAGATTCACAACAATATAGCTTTCTTTGCAAGTCTTTTTACAAACAGAATTACAAGGTTGTTAATATCATCACCATATCATCTAATTAATCGTGTTTACATTCGATTAGAGCTAGTTTAATTAGAAACTATATTATTCCTAGTAGGATGGATACTTGGACTTAAGTCCACTTTGTTACTTGTTACGATCACTACACTTGTGACTTAAGTCCACTTTGTTATTTGTGGCGAACACTACACTTGCGGGATAATTAAGAAGGACAACATTGACCAACCTGGTTTAGCACGGAGTTATCCCCAAGTATTATTGTATGGTTATTTTTTGAATATGTTTTTCTCCAGTTGCTGGATAATTTATAAATACTGGTCTTATTTTTGTTATCTTTGTACTTGTTGGTAAGGGCGGTCCAGCCGATCCAAGAATGAGGGCAGCCGCAAAAGGGCGTGGGGTTGAGATAACTTCCATATCAAGGCCGATAAGGCCGTCAGATTTCAGGGATTTTGATCTTATTCTTGCAATGGACAAGCAAAATAGAGGTGGGATCATTTTTTGTCTGCTCTACTATCTTCTGAATTCTCGTGGCCTTATAGTGCATTTTCTGCTTAGTCTCGTGCAAATTGTCCATATTTCTTCTGTGTAGGAACTGTACGAATTGTTAAATGAACTGAACGTTTTTCATGACCCCATTTTATACAGAGGATATACTCGAGGCATTTGAGAGGTGGAGGCACAGAGAGACGTTGCCAGCTGACGCAGATAAGAAGGTTAGTATGTGATTATCATGCAGTGAATGCAATGAGGTAGTTCTATATTTTTCATTGCTTGATGTTAAAGTGTGGGCTATGTCAGATATGTAGAGTGTACCATATAATTCTTTAATGACTCTGCTATTTTTATTTATTTTTTAATATTAAAATGTGTATTAATCTTGTAGGTTCGGTTAATGTGTTCGTACTGCAAGAAGCATGATGAAACTGAAGTGCCTGACCCCTACTATGGTGGGCCGCAAGGTTTTGAGAAGGTAATACATCTCTCCATTTCAATGAGATGTAAGATCAAAACAATCTACAGTGCTTGATAAATTTAGCTGCATCATATGTGATCTATGCTAGGATTTATCAGTCACCTGTCATGATTTTCTCTCAAAAAATACTTTGTGAAACATATTACCATAATAATCAAACTTTAAGGACTTCTGCCATGAGTTGGAAATATGATGTCTGTGCCACAAAACCATTAAGAGTGCACAAGTGAGACATAGGAGAGGTTGCATTTCTTGTTGAGAAGCTTTCGATTTTAAATTCATTGGTTGCACTTGGACACATTGTCAGCAAAAAATTAATTTATTTTAATATACATTCTAGGATGTGTTGATTAGTCATTTTGAACCTATGAAAAGGAGTAACTTCTCTCTGGAGGTGGGAATATGTCCATGACATGCTGATGCAGACGTAGTTGTGGTCCTCATGGGAATTAAAAGGGATCGTATTCTACCATAGATGGTCTACTTTCTTCTCTATTTGGTTTTTTATGCTGTCGGATATCATTGGAATTTAATCACCTTCTCATGGAAAATTTACCGCAAAGTAACTTTCTTGTCAATACAGCATGCATGCTCCATGATGAAGTCTCTTTGAAAGATGCAATTTCGAATGTGCCATAAGGAACAACCTAGGGAATGAAAGATTGTATTGATCCACATGCTGTGCTTCATTGATACATTAGGCAGGAATAGAGATAACCAATTTCACAAGAAGTGGTTTGCTCCAGCATCCTATCTTGTGACTTACTGATGTTCCCTTTGAAGATGTAGTGCAAATAAAAATTGCTCTATTCTACTAGGGCTTGCATAGTATGATCCCTCCATACTTTGTTATTAAGTTATATTTTATTTTAATTTGGGGAAGTCCAACATTAAGGTTTAGCTAAAAATCAAAATTTTAGTAGATTTTGATAAAAGTTGATGAAACATGTTGAAAAGTCACGTGTACCATGAAATGTGTGGTTGAAAATGAATTTAAGAAAAATGAGTTTCAGAAAATGGGGGTGAAATAGGGCTAAATTATGTTTGTTCAGACCGTGTTTCTCATGTTATGGCATCTCGTCACTTGCAATGTTGAACACTTAGACACGTACATGGAGTCTGTAAGGCTGAATTTGCATATTGAACATGGTCGCTTTAGATCTTCTTGTGGATCTAGTATTGTGAATTGGACAAACTGATGGAAAAGGATCATGTAATGGACCCCAAATTTAATTTTATTGAGAAAAGGCTTACTCCATATTGTGCTAAGCATCCAAAGTTTCACTTGTAAGTATTTGTCGAAGTTGTAAGTAATTTACTTTTTTTGATAACATGGTAAGAGCTACTTTCAAAATAAATAACCGTTTGTACTTAAAAAGTAACAAAAATAACATATGCAAACATGTTCGGAGAAGTAACTTTTAATTATTATTATTATTTTTTTTTTTTGAGCTTCGCTGAACACACTCTTAGTTGGTTTTGTTGGAATGATGTAAAACTAAACTTTGTATTTTTGACAGGTTCTGGATTTGCTTGAAGATGCTTGTGAGTCACTCCTCGAAAGTATTGTAGCTGAGGACAGTCGTATTCTGGATTCTTAGTACTTGGTTCCGAGATGAGCACATTTGACATTTGTTTATTATTGCAAGCTCATTCATTTGATTCAACATGGCGTTGATAAAAATAATTTTTCAACTGAATTGAACTATTCAGTGATTCATATGTGCTTTCTCATCTAATGAGTGAAGACAGTGGTTTACTCTATCCAAGTCAGCGTGGTTGCTTTATTGGCTCATTGATTATGCAAATCTATTTAATGAAACCTAGTATCAGCTTAAATATGATATATGTAAAGAATGTGTAGTTTTTGTTGAAACTCAGAAGGTTTTTCTTGGACATGTATTCTGTGTCGTACAGGTTTCCATGTAATGGATTATTCGAGCATTTCTTCTATTCGATGACATGATTCCAACAATAGTTGACATTTTTGGCACACTGAATTGAAACAAGACAACAAAATAGTTTATCTAATTTTGACATTTAGCATAGAACATAACCCCAATTAAATTAATTCAGGTGTAAGTAAAGCTCGAGTCTCGAAGAGGCTAATGAATATTCGCCAATTCGATTCAATTTACAAACATGTCCCTTGTGTTTATCAAGATTAGATGCAACTGGCTCAAAAGGATTAACCCCACATTCTCCCAATAAAATAATTTATCATGTTGACCCATAATTTTTCCTTACTTTTTAACTACACATTCTCACAAAATGATTTTTGCACAAAATCTACTTCAAAAACGCCCTTACTAGTAAGAGTTGATTGCAAATGAGTTAGAAATTAATACATCCAAAAACCATTCTATAAGATACAAATCATGCATTACAAACTCAGCTACATCATAATGATCCTGCCAAATCATTGAATTTACAGAAAAAAGAGCGAAGTTAAAACAGTTGAATGGATGTTTATTGCCCATGTTTTTTCTATTTCTTATAGAAGACAAAAAGCATCACACATGAAAGCTAATCATGTCTATTTTCTTCAACCTACAAATCTCAAAAATCGGAATTTTGTCACCAACTACACTTCACGCATCATCCATAATATGATCGTTATCGTTATCACCTGCGTAATATTCATCATCACGCTGGATTTGCTTGTCTTTCGTGTGTCCTGAGAAGGCATTTAAATAAAGGATAAAGGTAGCAAACTTAGCATATGCTGGAAGCGTATAATAAAACCACAAGGAGAAAAAAAGCGGCCTCGACCAAGTGTGGTTATGTAGCTATACAGCTTTTACTTACGATCTACACGTTCTTCAGGATTCAGCTCATCTTCATCAAAATCAGGAATGTAAAAATCAGGGGGCACCTAGGGATAAAACAAAATGTTTCAGCGAGTCCAATATAACGCATGAAGTGTCTAAAAGAATACACGCAGTGGTAGTCTAATATAAACACGTTCGTTTACAACAAACAAAGCTTTATGCATAATACAAAACATGCTTTTCAACGTAATTAAATGGAGGAAAAATTACATTATAGTGCTCCAACCTTTGGGCTCTGTTTACCAAGTTCATCCCCAACCTTTAAAACGAAATGTTTTGATCCTCAACCTTCTAATTATTGTTGCAGAAGTAGTCCCATAGATGAAAATCGTCAATTTGCCAGTTAAAAAGCCATTTCTTGTTGAAAAGACAATTGTCCACTTACCTTTAACTGAAACAAAAATAAAATGAAAAGGAGAATTCTACCTTTTCTTTTTCTTTCTATTTCCTACTTCCTGTTCTATTAATTTCTTATTAAAATTAATGTGTTTTACGCATTTCACCTTCACAGTCCTTGCGTGAGCAATTTTAAATGGCAAATTGGATGGAAACGGGGCTAGTAGTGCAACAAAAGTAAAAGATCAAGAATATAAATGCTCCAAATCAAGGTTAGGGAGAAACTGGCTACACAGGTTATTGGTTTGGGTTACGGCAATCTTCTTTTCTATTAATAAATAAGAATATCAACAGCAGAACTCTTTTTAGCACAATCATAAATCAAATTCTTTGCAGTAACTTATTTTGCATACTATGTAGAACATAACTTCCTGCATTGTTAGAAACAACACTAGTTCGGACTTCCTGTGTTCTGCCTACCTCTTGCAACTGTACGCTTGGAGAATGTTGGATGGAGCGAAGATTTTCATGCACTTGCTGCCTGATTGAGTTAAGATACGATCTGCTATTCAAATTCTCCTGCTCAATTAACAAAATTGGGAGACATGTAAATTAAACATTGTTTGCTGCTTAACAATGACTAGTTAAACATATTAACAGAACCAACAAAATTAAATTAAATTTGACCTCATTTAGTCAACAAATAACGCAATACTACCAATAAAATTATATAAGCACAGATAATTAGCTGATATACATCGATATTAAAGCAATAGCAAATGGGAGCATGAATCAGAGTGACATGTAAAAAGTTTCACATACCATGGGTCCACTCGGAATTTTCAATGAGTAACCAGGAGCAAAATATTTGATGTACTCATTTTCTGGTATCTCTGCAAGACAAAGATATATAATACTTTAGGATGTAGGACTAAGCTAGCTTCATTCTGCAGTAACGGGAAAGATATAGATGGCTTTTGCAAACGTATGCTCCTGGATGCATTATGAAAAGGCATGCTTAATGGCAGAACTATATTGAGAATATCTGACTAGCTTATAAAGTCTCATTAGAATTAATAAGTTTTAAAACAAATAAGTCTTTCTTGGATAAAGTTGAAAATAAGTTGCTTATTTTGATAAGATACAAGTTGCTTTGAAACTAACCCTTTTTTTACTAAAAAAAGATACATATCCAAGCTTAGCCAAACACACACTAAGCAAAATATACCAAAACATTGTACATGAAGTCACCAAAAAAGGAAGAAAAGATCAATAATCAGAAAGGAACAAAACATGAACAGAAGAAGATATTAGTAATGGTGATTAAAACTAGAAGATCATAATATCAGAAAACTGTACTGGGAGACAATGCATTCCCATAAGAGAGGTGCATCAGCATACCATCAGGAAGCTCTGCATCTAAAAGAACTCCAGTCTCTACAGTCCAACATCTAGCCACATTCTCTTTAGTGTATCCCCCACCTCCAGTTACCTGCAAGCAGATAACACCTTTCAACAGAGGAACTTACATAACTGGGCATTTCTTAAATTTTTTTGAACATAAGCTTACCAGCAGTGGCAAATTCAAATTCTTCACCAACCTAACGCAATCTGCATGCCCTGCAGGAAGAATCCAATGATAAGCAAATATTATGAAAAGCTGCCAATTTGTTATTAAATCAATGATGTATGAGAAATAGCATGTGCTCGAATGAAGAGTGACAGCCAAAAAACGTTACACCTACAAGCAAAATAACACCTTCAATAGAAAGGTTAAAGCAGCCCAAACGGTCGCCAGCAAGTGAATCTGCTCCACATTGGAGAACAATTGCCCCCGGTTGATAGGTTTCAACAACCTTCGTAACCACCTGCAAAATCTCATCACAATCCTTAAATCATCAAATCTGAACAAGAAACGTTTCAGAACTAGCGCTAAGTGTCCATTCACGAAAAATTACCATTTTGAAAAGACGGTAGAAACTGGTGTCATCTATTCCATCCTTGAGAGGGACATTAATGGCATAAAATTTGCCTTCTCTTTCTCCTACATCCTTCAAAATTAAATCAAAACATGGGTAAAAATTCTTGGGAATAAGATGGAGTCTTAGAATAGTTTGAAGGCTATCTCAAAAGATATTTTTTTACAGATTTCAAGTCCCATCACGAATTACCTTAAAAAGGTACTTGTCCAGTTGCAATGAAAAAAATTCAAATTTGAAATAGCATGTAATTCTCTAAGTTATATTGGCGTCACACTATTGCAGTGAGTTGTAACACATGATGAATCTTATATTCTATGATTTGGAATAGGCTAGGGATTTTCTGGAATCTAAGGAAAACATGAAATAAATAATTATCAGGGAAAATAACATTCAAAGATGCCAAAAGTGAATTGGCATATGGTAGAGACAAAAGCATCTTATATGACTTCAGAGAATTTCTAGATATAGTAACAGCACTGAAATTTAGCTGTCTACCCTGAATAATATTCTGGAACCAAAACGAATGCATATGTGATTCTCAAAGCTAGTTCTTTTTTGTCAGCGGAATGTTTTAGTTAGACCTCATAAAAAGTCATTTCAATATTCTGTGAAAAGGGTTGGACAAGCACATTAAAGCTGTTTACAGTAATCGAAATAAATTCATATAAAAACGCTGTAGAAATGTTAGAGATATCTGCATTCAAGGTTAGTCACCAGATTTAAAATACAGTAAAAGATAAGACACATAGCCAACAGCATATATCTACAAATCATTTTCACTAGAGATTCCCCTCCCATTTTTCATCAAATCACTCTTTTCGCAAGCACTTCACAGAGTCGAAGCAATTTCTTTTAAAGTGATGGAAGCCGGAAATTTTGATTCAGGAGAAAGTGCAGCTATATTTAGCAAGGGCTAACTTGACCTCAAAAGTAAATGACCGATGAACTAAGAGCACAGTTACCATATAAATATAAAACTGTCAAGTTATGCAAACTCTGTCAGTGTTCCATATAATTAACCATTCAATTATTGAATTAAAGAACCCTAAGAAACTAACCTATATAAATAATTCCCCATCTCCACATTTACCATCAAGAGAAGTAAAAATGACGGATGTGAAACGGAGAATGTAGAAGAAGTACCTTGAGATCACCTGTTCCCGGAAAGAACATATCCCCATGCTTGTGGAAACTAACAGTCATCACCCTGCCAGGTCAAACCTACCAATTTAATAAATATGGAGTAAGTTCTACTCAATACAGCATAGATTTCTCGTAAATTTCCTAAAAAATCTTTCAGAAGCAGTCATGTCTCCATTGGTACACCTAATTTCCAAGGAATACAAGCAGATATTATAGAGAGAATAAAATGATCCAATCCTCAGTACAATTCAAATATCACTAGGAAAATATAGAAGTAAATAATTATATTGGCCTGGCCAACGGTCACCT